CCGGCCGCGGGTCCCCATCAGGAGAAGCGTGGCCTGTCTGGCTGTGGTGGGGTGAAAGGCCCGGGACTCCCAGTGTCACTGATAAGACTCTATCGTGTGTGGAGTCGTGTGGGAAGCAACCCAGAAGCACAAATGCACAACATGCCTGCAAATAGCACTGGCTGGTGTGAGGACAACGCAGAGTACAGAAGTCCAGAGAGAGGCGGGGAGGGACGCTGGGCCTGGGAAGGAGGAGGCCACACCCGGTCCGGCCAGAGGGAGGGCGGAGTTCCCAGTGCCTGGCTGGCCCCTCGTTGCTTCTCCTGCCCCGTGTCTCCCGGCCCTCCCTCTGGGCAGCGCTGAGCACCAGGGCGGGGTGTCCTCGACGGGAACCCTTTCCACCCCTCTTGGACACTTCTGTCCCCAGGCTGCCCCGCCCCAGGTCCCTTCCTGTCCCGATGGCTCCCCCAGCCCGCAACTCTCTCTCCCGCAGGCCTGCACTGCGGCAGTGCCCTCTTCCGCCACGAGATCGGCTACGTCCTGGGCCAGCTGCAGCACGAGGCGGCCGTGCCCCAGCTGGCGGCGGCCCTGGCGCGACCCGCTGAGAACCCCATGGTGCGGCACGAGTGCGCGGAGGCCCTAGGGGCCATCGCCCGGCCCGCCTGCCTGGCCGCCCTGCGGGCCCACGCGGCAGACCCCGAGCGCGTGGTGCGGGAGAGTTGCGAGGTGGCCCTGGACATGTATGAGTATGAGACAGGGTCGGCCTTCCAGTACGCAGACGGGCTGGAGCACCTGCGCCCACCCCCCTCATAGGGCCGCGCCCAGCTGTCTCCCTCGAGGACTCTGCCCATAAACCATGTTGGAATGAATTGCATCTCGCTTCCCTGCCTCCCAGCCGCTTTCGCATCTTGAACCCCTGGGTGGACTGCAGGCTCCCCGGGGCCAGGCTGAAGTCTCTTCTCTGCCACTCTGAGTGCAGGGCTGCAGTGTTGGCGTGGGAGGGGTATCTAGGGGGTCCGGGGACAGGGCTGTGCTCTGGGGGGTTGGGGTGCTGTGACCCAGCTTCTCTAGGAATGAGGGGGTGCAGGGAAAGGTGCTATGGGCAAACCCGTCCCCGTCGGGCCTGGGCAGGGTCTGGGGGCGTCAGAGAGCTGTCCTTGGGGTGGGCAGGTGGTCCCTGGGTGGGGTGGCCTGGGCTGGAGCTCAGGGAGGGACAAGCAGGTCCCGGGACATTCCCCAAATGGACTATTAAATTATTTTTGCCAAGTGATGACTGTCAGAGTGTGTTGGGGGGCCTCTGGGGTGAGGGTTGGCTGCTCTAAAGGAACATATCCTAAGTGTGGGGGGCCAGGGTGTTTGGAGAGCTCAGCTCTGGGATCTGCCCTGCCCCAGACACTGTGACCGACACAAGCCTGTGGCCCTGTTTCACATCAGTTCCCAGGGGTAAAATCTGCCCAGCCAGACCCCCCAAAGGGGTTGAGGGGGAACAGCCCTGTATCCTGGCCCTCTCCAAACCTCATCCTCACCTACTTCTATTGGGGGCATAGGGGAAGGGGTTTAGTGGTATGACAAAAGAGTCTGGGCCCATCCTACCTACCTCCCTTACTGCCTCCTCATGCAGTCTCAAGCAGCCCATTTACCGCTCTATAAAATGGGTGTTAACAAGAGAACCTAATTTTACATGTGACGCATTTTCCACACCAAGCAATTCTGTTTCTCCATGGATGTCAGCTGGGCGTCCCACAATTCAATTCAGTTCTCTGACACTATCTACCCTGAATCAGTGCAGACCCTCCAGGTTCAGGGTTCAGTCCTGCAGGACTGCCCCCACTTCACATGCAGGTCCCAAGTCCGTACCTCCCATACTTCTGACAGACTGGTTATGAATTGGGGTTCCCACCACCCCCTCTTCACATTTGATGATTTGCAAGAATGGCTCACAGAATCAGGAAAGCACTTTACTTAACCTGTTTATCATAAACGAGGCAAATGAACAGCCAGATGAAGAGGCACAAGGTCTGAAGGGTCGGAAACACAGGAGCTTCTGTCCCCGTGGAGTTCGGGGTGGATGCTTTTAACCTGCTCGGAAGCTCTCCAAGCCCCTTCCTGTAGGGTTTTTATGGAGGTTCCATCACGTGGGCATGATTTAGCAAATCACTGGCTATTGGCAATAAACTCAGTCCCCAGCCCCTCTCCTCTCCCTGAGGGGTGGGGCTGAAAATTCCATCCCTCTAATCCCAGGGTCAGTTCCCCTGGCCACCAGCCCCAATCCCGAAGCTGCCACGCCCCTGCCCTCATTAGCATACACGCAGGCGTGGTGGAAAGGGGCTGATTATGAACCACAAAGGAGGCTCCCCTCTCCCCCATCACTCAGGAAATTACACGGTCCTGGGAGCTCCAAGCCAGGAACCAGGACGAAGACCAAACAGATCTCTTGTTATCTCACAGCGTCACCCTCGGGCGCTAGCTGCGGGCCCCCTCCCCCATTTATCCCCTGGTCCCCAGCCCCTCTCGCCAACTCGGCCATCACTTCAGCATTTCTCCCTTCTCCAGTTTTCCCTCTTTGCCCGTCAGCATAGACAGGCTGTAATTTCTTTTCTATTTTGAATTTTATTTATTTTTTATACAGCAGGTTCTTATTAGTTATCTATTTTATACATATTAGTGTGTATATGTCAATCCCAATCTCCCAATGCATCCCACCACCACCCCCTCCGCCATTTTCCCCCCTTCAAGCTGTAATTTCTTAAAAACATGAACCACCACCACCCACAGCCCTTCCTGACTCCATGACTTGCAGCTCTCTCAAACCTGCACCAACTAGGACCGCCCCTCCTGTCCCCAGAACCGTCCTTGCCCACAGGTGACCTCCCAGTGTCCAAATACGGTGGTCACATCTCAGTCTGCGCCCTCCCCCTCTCAGCAGCCTCTGACCCGGCCAGCCACCCTGCTCCTGGGAAATTCTCAGGGACTCCGCCTCTGGGCCCAGGGCTGAGTCCTCCGGCCCCACCCACACCCCCGCCCCGGCGGTCTCATCCACTCTTGGGGCTCGAACCCCATCTATGTCCCAATGACGCCCACTGCCCTGACTCCAGCCCGGGGCCTCCTCTGAGCTCTTGGCTCGGGGTCCAGTTTGGACATCTCCACTTAGATATTGCTGAGGCATCCCAAACTTAGCCTGTCCTGAGAATTCCTCTTGTTACCTCCCAAAGGGGCTCCTCCCACAGGAAATGGAAACTCCATCATTTCAGGTGCTCAGCCTGCAAACATTGGGGTTTGATCAGTTTAAGATCTACCCCAGCTCTGCCCATTGCCCCCCCCCCCCCCCCGCCCCGCCAAGCCTCTGCCTCCACCTGGTCCAGCATCATTATTGCCCACCTGGAGCAGCTCAATCCCTCCTCCCCATCCCTGGCTCCCATCCTCAGCCCAGTCTGTCTTCCCCAGAAAAGCCACCGGAGGGCGCCCGTGAGCACCTGAGTCAGGTCCGTCCAACAAGCCCAGCAAGGTCCTGCCCCAGGGCCTTTGCACCGAATGTTTCCTCTGCCTGGAAAGCTCTTGCCTTTGGTACTCCCATGGCCGGTTCCCTTCCTCCTCTGGGTCTCTGCTGAAATGTCATCTGAACATGGCCTTGGCTGCTCTATTGTGAGAGGCTGCTCTATTAGACCATGGTCTCCCCCCACAGTACCCTCAAACCACTCTTTGCTTTTTAACACGATATATCATTTACTCTGAGGTTATGCATTTCTCAGAATCTACCTCTCCATCTTGAACGTCAGCTCCACGAGAGCAGGGATTTTCCCAGAAGAGAGGACATCCTGTGCAAAGGCCCTGAGGTGGGGATGGACGTGCAGGGTAGCACCTGGCGTGGTTGGAGCTGAGCGTGGGAGGGAGGGGCCAGTGGGCGGAAGTGATTTGCAACGTGATCCATGCAGGCAGATGGAGGCCGTGGGGGAGCCCCAAATCCTCTTACCCAAAAGCTCCTTAATACTTCCGCCTGGCGGGTCACCACCGGGCTGCCCCTGCTCCAGGTGGCTGCCATGCCAGCACTGGCACTCGAGGAGGGGATGGAGGGCTGGAGCCCGGCCCCGCCACTCTACGAGGAGTACCGCCCACCGCCACTGGACACCATCCGCCTCCCCAGGTACGCGCTGTACCTGCTTCTGGCTGCGTTCGTGGTGGTGGCCGTAGCCTACGCCATTGTCGGGCATCTCATCAAGGACCTCGCCCACGACCTGGCCGGTGAGCCACTACCCACTACGAGCCTGGCTTGGGCTAGTGCTAGGCCACTTGGTGGGGGGGGTGTCCGAGGGCCTCTCCTTGCCAGGGAGGGGGCAGAGGGTGGCCGGGCCTGGGGATGCTCCTCACCAGCCTCCTGCCTCAGACTGGGCATTCGGCCCGAAGCCGGACCAGGAGGATGGCCCCCGGGAGCTGCCCGAGAGCCCCGAGGACGAAAGTCTGGAGGAGCTGGACCTGCAGCTGGCGCTGGCCTGGCGGGTTGACGAGGACGCCACTCAGGGTAGCGAGGGGGCCCCCGCAGAAGCCCCAGCCCGGCCCTGACGCCGCCCCTCCATCGCCTTCAAAGACCCACCAGCCCGAAGCTCCTTCTGGAAGCTGGGCTGAGCCGGGCCCTGCCCTCTAGCCCAGGAGCCGGTTCCAGCCCCTTTGGCGGTTGTATAAACCAGACTTGTGCCCATCAGAGCCCTTTCACCTTTGATCTGTGCTGTCTTGACAGAGAACGTTCTCTTTCTTGGCTGGTGGACTCCAGTGGCTGGACACTGATCTTTTTTTAATTAATTAATTTTATTTTTAATTTATTTTTGGCTGTGTTGGGTCTTCATTGCTGTGCGCAGGCTTTCTCTAGTTGCGGAGAGCGGGGGCTACTCTTCGTTGCGGTGCGCGGGCTTCTTCTCATTGCGGTGGCTTCTCCTGTTGTGGAGCACGGGCTCTAGGCACGTGGGCTCAGTAGTTGTGGCTCGCGGGCTCTAGAGTGCAGGCTCAGTAGTTGTGGTGCATGGGCTCAGTTGCTCCGTGGCATGTGGGATCTTCCCGGACCAGGGCTCGAACCCATGTCCTCTGCATGGGCAGGCGGATTCTTGACCACTGTGCCACCAGTGAAGCCCTGGACACTGATTTATTTCCACACTCTGGTTTCCCCCATAGTCCCAGAGCCTAACTCCACCTGGCCTCCACCAAGCCCTTGGCAACCTGTAAACCAAAAAACACTAAGAAGATTAAAAATAATAATAACAACAATAATAGTGGCCAACCCTTAGCTAGAGCTTCGAATGTGCCTGATATTGTATGCTAAGCAACCCCTTTCCTTGTATTAACATTATCTCGTTAAATCCTCCGAGGTACGATTTATTGCACCCATTTATCAGATGGGAAAACAGAGGCACACAGCCCAGAAATGACTCGGTCAGAGTAGAGAGAACGTTTTGCGGAAAGAGGCTGGCCCAGCGACCTGCCTCGGAAAGCAGAAGCCTGCTCCTCTGGGCTCCTCCACCTCTGAATCTTCTCAGCTCCCGCCTCTCACCTCATTCCTGGTTCGGCAGCTGGATGGGTCCATCTCTGGGGGTCCTGACTTCCTAACTAGCCTGAGGGCTTCCTTCACTCCTGAGTTTTGCACGGGCTGGGGCACACAGTAGGAGCTTCACCTGTGCCTGCCTGGCTGGTCGAACTGGGCTTGTCCTGGGCTCCACTGAGTGGCCCTCCTGCACAGTGACCGTGGTCAGACCTCAGGAAGGGACCCCTCCCTCCCACTCCGTACGTGCCTGGGCAATAATGCTGGTGTTCCCCCAGCCCCCAGGCGTCCGACGGAGGTCTCAGGCCTGGAGAAGGACCAGGCCTCCCCATCCCAGCCTTCCTGCCATGTGCTTGGGCTGTGGCTGTCCCGTGGCAGCTGGGGTGGGGTCCCCATTCGCCCAGGCAGGGCCCCCTATCTAATCAACCTGGGGATCAAGGTTGACACGCAGGAGAGCCAGGAATCTGAGTCATCAGCTATCCCAGGGGCCCCGTTCTCTGGCCACACGGCAGCAACTGGGTTTGGAGGTAGATGGTGGCCCATCCCTTCTTGCCCCGTTTGCTCCCCCTGGAGCTGGCTGTGGGTCCCCAGGGGTCGGGGACCCAAGAGGAGCCAGTATAAGCTGGTGGTGGGAGAGACCCGCGTTTACATCTAGTTCTGGCTGCTTCTGCCCGGCCTGACGCTCCTGGGCCCCCTGGCTTCTCTGTAAAACGCAGGTGGCAAAATTTCATGGTGCATGCAGAGAAATAATCGTAATGATGTGTAAAAGCACTGAGCCGGGAAGGAAGCTCAGGGCCAGTTCAGCCTGGCGCCTGTGGCGGGGAGCCTGGGGGACCCTGAGGCTGACGGTCCTGGGTGGGGTGCAGGGCTGAGGGGCCGGACTCCCGTGTTAATCGTTACACCAGGTCCAGAGTCTGCCCTCCTGGAAGGCGGGGGAGAGGGGGTGGATGCCAACCAGGTGGGGCAAAGGGAGGGGCCCTCTGGTCTGGGCCTGCCCCGCCCCCAGACCTGCCTGCCCCCTTATCAGGGGCTGGGCAGGGTCTCCCCTGACTCTGACCGGACTGTGCACTCCCGTACCTGGACTGGCTGGATCCTCCGTGCCATGGGGACCCTGGAGACCCTTCTGCTCAGCACCCTGCTCCTGTCGCCGGCTGACGCCCAGCAGGGTAGGGCTCCGACCTCTGGGGCAGGGGCGGGAGGATGGGTCGTGGGGATGGGCTTGGACACAGGCTCGCCATCTCCCCCTTTGATGAGAAACCGAAGCCTCCGAGAGGAGTGGGCAGGCAGAAGAGGAATGGGGTCAGGCCCCTCTTGGAGGCAGCCTCCCTAACTCCCCCACTTCCTCTGGGCCTCCCACCTCATCCCTGAGCACCCCCTCCTCTCAGAGCCCCATCCCCTTCTCTAAAACCCACCTCTGAGGGAACTCCCTGGCGGTCCAGTGGTTAGGACTTGGTGCTTTCACTGCCTGGGACGCGGGTTCAATCCCTGGTCAGGGAACTAAGATCCCAAAAGCTGCAGCGCAGCCGAAAAAAAAAAAAGAAGAAAGAAAAATTTAAAAGGACTTCCCCGGCGGTCCAGTGGTTAAGACTCAGTGCCTCCACTGCAGGGGGCACGGGGCACGGGTTCGATCCCTGGTCGGGGAACTAAGATCCCGCATGCTGCCGGGCGCAGTCAAAAAACAAAAACAAAACCACCTGTGAAACCAAGCCCCTTTCCAAGACCCCTCTGTCTGAGCATCCCCTTCACCCTTAGCCCCCTGTCCTTTCAGGGGCCCCCCACCTTTCCCATTTCTGAGTCTCCTCTGCCCCCACCTCCTAACAGCCTCAGAGCGTCATCTGAAGCCATGGCTGGTGGGCCTGGCTGCTGTCGTGGGGTTCCTGTTCATCGTCTTCATCCTCATGCTGGCCAACCGTATCTGGTGCTCCAAAGAGAGGTGGGAGCCCCTTTCCCCACCCTCCATCTCCTCCCCAAAGCGCTGGGCACCCCCTCCTACCTCATGACCCTCTCTGGTCCCTTTCTTGTCTCCCCATTTCCCTGCTCCCCCTGCTCCCACAGCTCAGGACAGCCATGCAGCCCCCCTCTCTTGCTTCCTGGAGTCCCCCCAGCCTGGGGGAGACTGAGGCTGAGGCTGCCCCCACTTCCCACCCTTCACCCGCCCTCATCCCTCCATCTCCATCTCTTCTGCAGAGCTGAGGATGAAGAGGGGTCTGCATTCAGAAGGGATCCCCACTTGAACGAGGAAGTGGACCTGAGGTACTGCCGTGTGAGCATGTGTAGATGTGTGTGGGTGTCAGGGGGTCTGCGTGAGGCCCCTCCTCGAGGAGGGGAGGGGTGGGTGTGCGCGGATGACCTTTTTCTGTCCTTGAACACCTCAAGCACGTTCCTGCCCCAGGGCCTTTGCACTTACCGTTGGTTCTACTTTGTACACCTTTCGTCATATCTTCTGGCTGGCTCCGTCTCTCCTCCAGTCCCTGCTCAGATGTTTCTTCCTCACAGAAACCCACCTTGACCACCAGCCTTCCTGACACTCTCTCCGCCACAACCCTGCATCCGTCTTTGCATGTATCATCAGCTGAAATTATCTTAGTCATTTACCGGTTTCTCGACACTAGATAGTGGCTTCCAGTAAGTGAACAGAACTTAGCTTTGGTCCTGGCTCTGGCCCCAGGGCCTGGCACACAGTACGCACTTAATAAATACCTGTCGAACAAGACCGTGGTGTGGGATTGTGTAGGGACTGTGCAGAAGTGTGTGATTTGGTGTGGGTAACTCTTCTGGGTTCAGCGTCTCCCATGATCCTGGCTCAGGGATGTGGGCAGGGCTGGGGGCTCTTTCAGGGCAAGATCCCAATTTGGGCAAAGGCTTGGGGACAGAAGTAGGAGCTCAGGAGCTGGGAGGACACTATCCTGGCTGGGAGATTCTCAGCTGAGCCCAAGATGCCTGAGGGACAGGCGTGGGCCAGACTGTGCTTTGTCTACGACCCAGCTCAGGCCCAGTAAAATGTGATTCCTACTCCCAGGATGTGCTGGAGGTTCCAGATCCCACAGGTGCTCCTAATTTGTAGTTTCCTCCCTGCCTTATTCATTCCTCCTCCACCCATCCATCCATGCATCCACCCATCCATCCATCCTTCCTTCCTTCCTTCCTCCCATCCACCCATCCTTCCATGGGACAATTGACCCTTAGTTTCTGCCTTTGTGAAATGGAAATAACAAGGCTGCCTTGTTAGGGCTGTTTTGAAGATTCAGCAAAGATTCTTTCTGTAAAGCGCTCATCATAAGACCTGGCACAGGTAAGTGTTCGTTAAATGGGAGTGACTCTGTTTCTTATTGTGGTCTGGGGCCTTTGTGTCCCTACAGTAAAGAAGACAAGAAGGGGAAGAAAGAGAAGGAGAAAAAGGCCAAGAAGGAAGGAGAGAGCAACTTGGGGCTGGAGCTGGAGGAGAAAGAGGAGCGCAGAGACCAGGAGCAAGTCAAGAACATGGCCATGTGAAGACTCCTCAGCCGCTGCCTCCAGGCAGCCCCCCAGAGGTGCCCCTTCCACACCCTAGAAGCAATGACCTGAAGCTGAAGCCACTGCAGTGACTCCATCTGGGGTTGAGAGTACAGCGTCCTGAATGAAGAGGCTTGGGACCACCCCTCCCCCCTCAAGGAGGGATCTTTGTGCGTAACGTGGTCTATATGTGTTATGATTTGTACCACCTGGTGATTCTCCTTGCATTTAGAGAGCACTCCTGGTTACTGAGAAAACCCCAACCCCTGCAATTTCATGGCCTCACCTGCTTCTACCCATTGCCTGATTTCTTGGCCCTCTGCCTCATATCTATCTGCCAGAGCCCTCCTCCCTCCCACTCACCTTCAGGACCGGTATCAGCCAGGGACTGCCTCTTGGGGAAGAGCCCTTCAGAAGGGCTACTGTCATCCCGTGGGACTTAGTTTCCCCTTGAGGAGACGGCTTTTGGGGTTGGGGGTAACGCCCAGGCAAGGGTGGGAAACCAAACTCCACGGTGCCCAGATACCCTGGGCAGATTAAGCGCTCCCCCTGCAATCTCGATTCTGCTGTCCTGAGCCCCGAGGGCCGTCTCCTAGGAAAGCCTTGCTCCCCCGCACCAACCCAGGGTTTTGGGTCACGTGACTCCATTTCTGGGAACTGGGTCTTGGAGGGTGCGGTGTCCCCCGCGTGTGAGATCTTGGAAAGGGATCCTCCCTGTTTCCAACCTCCCCACTCTCCTCACTTTCTCCGGGCCCTGGACCTTGCCCTGGATGTTAACCATTTCCTAATGAGAACTTTGATAAAGGCTGGCATTTAGGGCTCCCTTGTGGAGCAGGTAGCTGCGGTTGGTAGGATCCAGTCCAGAAGGCGGGGAGCTTCTGTCTGAGAACATCCCAGGATCGTCCACCAGGGGGCAGAAAAACCATAAATAAAAAAGTGTAATAATCTCCCTAATAGGTGCTCCCACTGAATGCCTAGCATCCTTATGGTCTCCGTCTCGGTCAGTTTGCAATTAGTCTCATTTTCCGGCTGAAAATACTGAGACTTAGAAAGAAGGAAGCCACTGGCCCAGCCCTCCCTGGCTGTTGCTGGCAGAGCTGGGATGGAAGCCCAGGCTGCCCAAAGGATGGGGCATGTGCAGGCTCTGGCTAAGGTCAAATTTGGAGGTTCATGTCCCAGGATGGGAGAGGGTTGGGGTAGGAGGTGTTCCTAGCTGGGAGAACTATGTTCTTTTGGGATGCTGTGTGGCCAAGGGGAAGTGGCCTGACCTCTCTGAGCCTCGACTTGGCTCCTCTTCTGCAACGTGAGGACAAGAGTTCTGACCGCCAGAGCATGAGACTTGAAGGAGGTGCCCGAGCTCAAGAGTCATTGCAAGACCTGGCACATAGCAGGCACTCAGGAAATGAGTTCCCCATCTTTCCTGAGCCTCCCCTCCCATGTCCCTGGCCGTGGGGAGTGACAGGGTCAGGATGGGCCTCAGGGAGACGGGGGCTGGGACGCTTGGGACCCTGAGCCCCTCCCCATGGTGCCCGGAACCCAGTGAGGGGGCCCCACCTCCGACTTCCTGCGGCACCGGCCACATCCTGCCCTGGGGTGCCCTGCGCAGGCCACTTCCCCCTCTAGCTGGGGCGGCAACCCCAGAACCTGCTGGACAGGGGAGAGGACAGACGGAGAAGGATGGATAGATTCTGGACGACCCCCGGCCAATTCTCCCTTCTCGCAGCTCTGGTCCCGCGGCTGGTTCAGGCCCAACCCTGTAAGGCCTTGGAAGGGAGTGGGAGTGCGGTGGGGAAAAGAGTCCCAAGCTGGCGGCCAGGCTGCTGACCCCGCCTTGCTCCCGCCCGCAGTGGCCCAGCGGAAGCCGTGGCTGGTGGGGCTGGGGGCTGCGCTGGCCTCCCTCTTCCTCATCTTTGTCCTCACCTTGGTCTACGCCATCTGGTGCAGCGAGCCCTGGGACAGGTAGGTCCTCATCTTTCTGAGCCCCTCCTTCCCGAAATCTCTAAATCTCTCCTCTCTAAGCCCCTCCCCTCTCTGAGTCCCGCCCCCTAAGCCCCTCCCCGTGTCGGGCCCCCTCTTAGCCCCTCCCCTCTCCGAACATCCTCCAAGAAGGCCGGGCAGGACCAGGGGGTAATTCTTTTTTTTTTTTTAAACAAGTTTATTTATTTATTTTTGGCTGTGTTGGCTCTTCGTTTCTGTGCGAGGGCTTTCTCTAGTTGCGGCGAGCGGGGGCCACTCTTCATCGCGGTGCGCGGGCCTCTCACTGTCGCGGCCTCTCTTGTTGCGGAGCACAGGCTCCGGACGCGCAGGCTCAGTAGCTGTAGCGCAGGGGCTTAGTTGCTCCGCGGCATGTGGGATCTTCCCTGACCAGGGCTCGAACCCGTGTCCACTGCATTGGTTGGCAGATTCTCAACCACTGCGCCACCAGGGAAGCCCCAGGGGGTAATTCTTTGATTCAGAATCCATGGGGGCCTCACATAACCTCACTCTCTTCTCTCCTGACTACCGACCTGCAAAATGAGGGTGGCTTCCTCACAGAGAAGCCCATCCCTAATATGTGTTTCAATTGGGGTCTGTAAAGTCTTTTTTTGGGGGAGGGGGTCTGTAAAGTCTTTTTGGGGGGAGGGGGTCTGTAAAGCCTTTACCACCCCCACGCGAACCCCATCTATTTATCTATCCACCTGTCCTTCCCTTCCTCCCTCCAGCCGTCCATCATCCATCAGCCCTCCCTCCCTGTCTCCCTCCGTTTCTCTCTCCTTCCCTCCGTCCAGCATCCAATCCTCCATCTGTCCATCCATCCAACCACCCACCTTCCCACCACCCATCCACACATCTGTCGGTCCATCCCAGCCACTCATTAAGCCATCCACCCATCCGTCGGTCCATCCCCCACCTCTCTGCCTGTCCACTCACCCTCGGTTTTGAAACCCCTTATCGGTTTTGGCTCACGCAGCTCAACTATGGGCTCAAGCACTTCCTTCGTGTTCAAACGGGGCGGGTGTCCTAAGCTGCCTGAGCCTCGTCGTCCCCTTCCGTACCATGGGAACAACAAGGGTGCCTGCAGGACTCAGAGGTTCTGTGAACATTGTAAGAAGCCTGGAACCCAAGTCCTTATTAACTTGGGTTACCTGGGCCCTTCTTTTCTCCACAGCAATAAAGAGAAGGAAGAGGAGACTGTGAGAAATGAGGAGAAGGAGGGAGAGGGCGACTGGGGGTTGGAACTGGAGGAGAGAGGGGCCTCCGGACCATGAAGCAATGGCAAGCTCCTCCTCGTGAAGGTTTCCCACTCATCTCCTCCAGGCAGCCATCCAAAGATGCCCCAGTGCCTTCTCCATGCCGTATCAGCAAGGACCCGGCCCTGGGGCCAGTGAGATGACTCCACCTGGGATTCAGGGTAAAGTGGCCCTTGAGTGCAGAGGACTCAGGACCTGCCCCAAGTCCCTCTTAGAGGGCTCTCTGCGTGTTACCTGGTGGCCCTGTACCCCTTCCCAAGCTTGGTCTCCACCTGATGATTCTTCTTGAGCTTGGAGGACACCCCTGGCACAAGGAGCAACCACCTCCCCGAGACCCCCTACTATCTCATATCTCTACCCAGTCTGCATCGCTGGCAACTTTTGGCCCTTTTGATTTCTTCTCCCACCTCCGATTTCTATTGCCCTTTGGATTTCATCGGAGAAGCCAGGTCCTCCTCTTGCCCACGTGCAAGCTCTTACAAGAGTTTTCCAGGCCTGCTTCGAGGAATCCATAGGAGTCACTTGTCTCCCAGCCCCCCTCCTGGCCTCGGCTTGCTACTCCTGAACGTGAACTTTGAGCTGGCTCAGAGCAAGGCCATTTCCTGGGAGATGGCTTCTCCTACCTTGTGCTCATTTCGGGGCACTGTCCTGGAGGCAGGGACTCCCAGGCCCTGGGGTGAGGGTGCAGGAGTGCGAGTGGGGAGGAACGCCTTCTTCCTGTCCTGCACTCCTTGTGGGGAGGCGCCATGCAGAAGAAGGAGTTGGAGTCCCCACTTCTTTGCTGTGTAGCCCCGAGGCAAGTAACTTAACCTCTCTGTGCCTAAGTGTCCTGTCCTGTAAAAGGGGAGGATAATAGATTCTTCACAAGTCGTCATGAGGTTTGAATGAAATACGGTCTACAGAAATCCTGAGCGCAGAACCCAGCACCCCAAAAGCGTCTTAATAAATGTCGGCTTTTTGTTATGCTGAAATGGTGAAGATGGGGCGGGCCAAATGGGCCTCCCACCACAGACTCGGGGGATCCTGAAGGTCAGAGGGTGTTTTCCGACAGCAGCTCTGGGAGGGCAGGAGTTTTCTGCCGTCCAGTCTCCTCTTTGCGAGGTCTGGGGCTTCCGGGTGGGTGGCTGTGTTGAGGGGGTCGAGAAGGGAGAAGGGAGGGGCTATCGGGGCTCCTCCCCTTCCGCAGGGGGCGGGACTTCCCCACTAGGGGGCGACGGGGGCGTTTGGGGGTGCGTTCTTTTAGGTCGTTGCACACCTGGCCCTTTTACGGCGTTTAGTGGGGAGCCAGGGCTGGGACAGCCCCTCAAAGCCAAAAACTGCTTCACCCCAGGGGCCAATGGATGAAAAACACTGAGGCTTTCCTTGAGATAAAAGGACAGGTTGAGCCCCCAGCCCGGCAGAGACGCGGCCCCAGGATGAATCTCCAGCCCCGGCTGAACCCTCCATCCCAGCTGAACGCCCACCCCCGGACTGAGCCCCTCACCCAAGATGAGATCCCCACCCCGCAAAAGAAGCTCCTGCTAGAGCTCCCCTCCGCCCCTCCGCCAGGAGAGCCGGACTGTGGGGATGCGGGTCAGCTGACCTCTCCATCCGGGACCCGCTTTCTGGGTCCACGTCCTAGGTCCTCCCACAGGGGGGCGCCAGAACCTCGCCGCTGAGCGCAGAAGAGCCCACCCCGGTTGGGGGTAGGGCATGGGAAGGGTACGTGTCCGTCTTGGAGGGGGTCTCGGACTCCACCCCTGGCCCCCAACGATTGTGTCTTCTGTGCCTGTTACTGGGCAGCAGCGTGGGGCTGCGCACCTGCGCGTCAGCGTCGGCGCACCGCACCTGGGTCCCTCTCCGTGCGTCTTGCCTTCGCTTCGTGCCTCAGTTTCCCCGCCAGTGAAAGGGGATATAAACGTCCTTCCCGGGGAGGCTTGTGGGTAGGATGGAAGGAGCCTGTGCAGCGGAGAGCTTTGACTGCACGTCTTGGGGGTCCCTGGGGGACTTGGAATGGGGGCCAGGATGGGGGACAAGGTTTCAGACCCCAGCCTCCAAGGAGGAGAAGTGACTGCCCCTCACATCCATGATGCTTCCCTGACCCCAGCCTTTGAGGAGCCCCTGTGGCTTCGGGGTAGGAGCTGGACATGGATACTGCCAGCTATGAGTGGTCAGGGGTGGTGTGGAAGAGACTGGGGTGCTGGGGTGCTAGGAGGGATAGCAGGGGCTCTGCCCAGGCACGTAGAGAGGGCCCTCTGGAGGAGAGGGTATTGGCACCAAGTTGTCCTGTCCTACCTCTGCTCACTGCCCTCGGGGGCTCCCACATCCCTCCTGGGGTAAAAGCCCAAGTTTTACCCCGTGGCCCACAAGGCCCTGGATGACCTGCCCCGTCCCCTCCCTGCCCTGACCTCCTCCCTCTCTCCCCCTCGCTCACTCTGCTCCAGACACACGGGCCTCCTCGCTGTTCCTCCAGCACACCAGGCATGGTGCTGCCCCAGGGCCTTTGCATGGGCTGTGCCCTCTGCCTGGAAAACTCTTCTGCCAGATTTTCAGGGGGCTGTTTCTCCCTCTCTATTCAAATCTCTGTTTAAACGTTACTTCCTCGTGTGAGGCTGACTCTCCTATCCCTTATTCTGCTTCATTTGTCTCCTTGGCACTTACGTCCTCCAACATTTACTTATTTTTATTGTTTACTGTCCATTTTCCCAACTTGGAACTGTAAGTGCCATGAAGGCAGATCATCTGGGGTGGTTTTTTTGTTCTCCACTGTGTCCCCAGTACTTGGTACTCAGGAAGTCTTTGCTGAATGAATGGGAGTTTGCTAGGTGGAAAAGAAAAAAAAAAAAAAGAGGGAAGGCATTCTGTGCATTTTTGGAGCACCAACTGTGTGCCAGGCTCTGTCCTTGGAGCCACGTAGGAGGTGGAGTTCCCTGTGCCTGGCACAGAGCAGGTGCTCCATAGATGCCCATGGAATTTGTTGATCAAAGACTCCGGGAGAATCCCGGAACCGGTTTCCTGAGGCCGCCTGCCCTCCAGCCTCTTCCCTTCACTTTGGTACAGAACACAGAACAGCCCAAATGGAACACAGAAAGGAGGACCCAAGACAGCTAGAAAGAGTCGAAGCATAGCTTGTTTAATTTTTATACATTTTTTTTTTGCCTTTTATTGAATCTTTTATGGAACCCCCCCTTTTTCATTTTTTCTTTTCTTTTCTTTTTTTTTTTTGCATAGGGAAACAAACAAAATAATAACAGCCAGAGTCACTTTCTGTAAATGGTACTTAGGTAGGCGCGTCGGCGGAAACCAAAATGACTGCGTAATATACAAGGTTATGATCGGAGTATGATGTGAGGGCGCAGGGCAGGGGAGCCGGGCAAGGAGAAGGCTGGGCCTGGGTCTGCTCAGATGTCCCCTTGTCCCCTGTCCTGTCCCCACCTTGGGGAGGAAGAGGAGGAGGGGAGTGAGCCCAGCCCGAACCTTCTCCCAACATGGGTTCATGAGCATGGGGTGTGTGCGTGTGTGTGTGCATGCGTGCGCGCGTGTGTGTTGTATCCGGTGTGTGCGGCAGCAAGCGAGAAGCAGAGTAAACTATCCTGGTAATATCGGTAAAATACAAAATGGGGGGAAAAAAACCCTCAAAAAACATCTCAGAGGGAAAAGGAAATTAACAGCAACACCACCAAAAATTTTAGAAAGAAAAAAAGAGAGAGAAAGAAGGAAAGAAAATTCAGAGAGGAAAATGGGTCCCTCTCCCCTCTCTCTGTCGTCCCTCCCCCCACGACACGTGTTCTGCCCGTCAGACACGGCTTGTCCCGCCCCCATGTGCAGCCCTGGGGGGTGGGAGGGTGACAAGTTGGGGGTAGGGGCCAGGACCCCTGGATGTGAAGGGGCTTTGGTTTCAGGGGGCCTGGCTGGGGCCCAAGATTGGGAGGATGGGATGTCGATGCATTTTTGGGAATGGGCTTTGGGGTCTCACCACTAGAGGGGGGGCTGAGGTAGCTCCTGTCCCTTTTCCAGTGGGTCCCCTTCTAGCCAGGTGGCGTGAAGGCAGGGCTGTAGGGAGGGTGGGAGCTTGGGGGGTGTGGGACTTCCTTCCTCTTCTGGAGCCCTTAATCCTGTTGGATCCCACCTCCTCTTTTCTGAGGCCTAGGGGACCCCCAGGGACTGGGGGAGGAGAACCCCAAAGCCACACCAGCAGACATGTGAGGCACTGCTTGGGAAAAGTCTGTTTTGGTATCGCTGGCAACAAGTCCTGCTGGGATCGCTCTGGGTCTGTCTCCCTGCCTTGCCCGGGGAAGGGGCCGGGGGTGGGGGGGGGGAGTGTGGGCCTCTGGGGCCAGCTCGGACCCCACGCACTCTGAAACGCTTAGGGATACATGGATGGCGGAGAGGTGGTGTCAGTGTGGAGATGAGACCCTCAGGAAGTGTCCAAAGCGGCAGAAACGGGGAAAGATGGGAGGATGCGGGGGATGCTGGATTTGAGGATGGGTCTCCGGAACCTCTCGCCCATCACCCTCCCTCCCCCCCGCCCCACAAAAAAGTAAAAATCAGGGTCTCAGAGAGAGAATCCAGGCCAAAATAAAAAGTAGCCACTGTATAATCTGTATTATGAGAAAAAAATTCCAAAATTATACACACATATATATATATATATAATGTATAGTATAGCCCTACGCTGGAGGTCAAAGTACCGTCAGAGAAGCCAGAGGAGGGGTGTGTGTGTGGGTGTCCTGTGTGCTGTCTCTTCCAGGGGGCTGGATGGTTGCTCCGGGCCCCGGGGACCCTGCCGCGGTCACTGGCCGCTGTCCAGCCAGATCTGCTTGCTCTTGAACACTGCGGCCTCTGGGGACAGAGAGGAAGTTCCGGAGCAGGGAGGGGGTGCTGAGGCCGAGACTGCTGCCTGGGGAGCCGCAGCAGCCCCCCACCCGCCCCATGTCTCCTCTGAGGTTCCTTTCCAGTCTGATTGTCTAGCTCAGGGTGGGAACCTGGGCTCAGAACTCGGCCAGAACCGGGGTTCCAGACCTGGGCACGGGGCACCCCGGACCCCCGCCCCAGTCAGATAGGGCCAGGTCAGCTTGACCTCTCCACACCACCCTCTCCACCCAGATTGGGGTCCGGTGCCCTCCCTCATCCAAAGAGAGGGATGGGGGCAATTTGCATATATTGGGGAGGTCTCCTTAGTCTTTTCCACAGCAAGGGCTGGACCCCAAGGTCAGGCTGGGGGACTCCCTATGGGATGGACAATGGGCCAGTGGGCCGCAGGTTTGAGATGTCAGTTTCATCTATGTTCAAAAACAACACCACCGCCCAACCCCCTGCCCGCCGCCCTCCCCGGGCATCGACCCAAACTGCAAAGGCAGGTGAGCCGGCTGGTTCCTAGTGTTTCTGCCTTATCCTGACGCACAGCTGGGGGCGAGGAAGGGTGGAGCTCTGGGGCCCGGGGTGCTGTGGAGTGCGGGCCGTGAGGGACAAGGTGGTCCCGGTGAAGCCCTTGGGGGAGGGGTCCTGCAGGGACGGGCCACCCACTCCCCGTGCCACTGGCTGCTCCCACTTCCCTGGGGCGGGCAGGGAATGAAAACCAGAAATCAGCCCTCATGGAAACTGACAAGCATGGCCTTGGGCTCTCAGGCCAAAGGGCAGTTCTCAAGGGCAATGTCAAGGCCCAGCTGAGGCCGTGGTCTGGGCTCTCGCTCTGGCCCCTGGGGCTTGCTGAGGTGACTTTTCGAAAGAAAACATGACATGAGCGTATGGTGGTGGATGAAAGCCCGGGCCTGTCTGCAAGGCCCCAACCGGCTCTGGAGACAATTCTAAAGTCTGAGGTGGTGGCCAGGGAATGAATGGGGACTGTCTGCCTGGTGGATCCCCAGAGGAGATGTCTGAGGGGCCCAGGGATGGCCAGCCAGAGGTGGCAAGGTTGAAGGACCCGGCCCTTTGGTCCTCCTGCCTGGACACCCCACTAACTGCTACTGTCTCAGCTTTGGTTGAGTGAAAGGCAAAGGAAATTGGGGGAAAAAAGAGAGAAAGAGAGAGAGAGAAAGGAAGGAAGGAAAATACGAGAAAATAAAACCGAGAAGACAACAGCACGGCCAGCCCCCTGCCCACCCCTGCCAGGGCCTGGGACGCTGTGCCCCTGGCTGCCCCTGCCCCCTGGCCCCCCCGGCCGGGCCTCCGATGGCTGAACTAGACCTACAAGTACAGACAGACAAATATTGCATATATTGGGTTCGGGTTTTGTCTTTTTGTTTCACACCAGACCCCCCTCCACAGTTACAGCTGGAAGACATAGTAGAACTGGGTGGGAGAGCAGGAGGGTCCTTCCTGCCACCCAAGGCCAGTCTCCAGGGTTGGGGTGAGGTGGGTCCTTTGGCAAGAAGGCGGGGGACTGCACAGGGGGAGAAGGGGCTGGGGGCGGAACAGCGATTTGACCCTGAGCCAGGGGGACGCCAGCCTGCGGGAGAGGTGGGATGGGGGCAGTCTGGCTGTCGGCAGGGCGGCCGCCCCACGGGCGGACCGCATGGGTCGCGGGTGCATGCGTGGCGTCTGGGGGGCCGGCCTGTGGCCCAGTGAGGGGAGAAGCCCTTGCCCGGTGTCAGGGGACACCCCTGAGGTCTGTCCGCCAGCCTCTGTGGGCAGGGGATTCGGAAACAACCCCTCTGGAGACCGAGGGTGGGGCTGGGGGGCGTCGCAGAGCACCAGGGGGTACCCCCAATGCAGCAGGAGACATGGAGATGCGGCCAAGGGTGGGCTGGGGGGAGGGCAAACCGTGGGGCGATTGTTCCGTGGACTGCTGATTTTTTAGCAATATGATTTTTTTTTAATTCTTAATTTTTTTTTTTTACAAATAGAAATACATCTTTTCAATTTTTACTTTTTATTTCATGTCATTGCTTTGTCTTTTTCTTTTTTTTTTTTAACTACACGAGCAGTGCATGCAGCTATCTGTGTGCGCTGATATTGTTTAAAGGTAATACTTATTTTTGGAAGGCAAGGCACATCATGTGGTAGAAAATTTCGTGCAAATTAGGAAACATGGAATTTTTTTTAAGGTTTTTTTTTTTTTTATCTTTTTTTTTTTTTTTTTTTTTAAAGGGGGGGGGGGGGGGGGGGGGGGCTGGGGGGGGGCTGGGGGAGGGAGATAGAGCCAGTATCATTCGCCATGCAGTTTCAGCCGCCGCGAGCTGACGTCAGGAGCCAGGTCACAGGAATCCTCGACTAAGCACCATGCAAAGTTAGGTAGCTGGGGGCTGCCAGGTGCCCCCTCCCCTCCCCCACCTACCCGCACCCTAAGGTTCCCGGCTGAGAAGCTTCCGGATACCCCAACTACACAACCCCCTGCTCTCCTGGAGAGCGGCCCACGCTTTGGTCCCCAGCAGCCACCCGGTGGAGGGGCCCTGGGGACAGAGGGACGGACCAAGGGTTCTTGAACCCCTCCGGACAGCGGGAGTGGGGCTGGTGGGGAAGGGTCTGCGGGGGAGGGGTCGTTTCTCTTTATGATCGAGTGGGTTCGCCAAGCCCCTTGGGCTGGTTTGGGAGGAGGAAAGTCTGGTGTCTGGGGATGTGGGGGGAGGCTGGCCGGGCTGGGGCACCGGGGTTTCACCGGGAGAGGGAGGGGAGGGCCAGGCTGGGAGCAGGTGAAGCGGAGGCCTGCCCAGGGCCATGGCTTAGGCCTGGGTCCGGGGATGGAGGTCAGGATTCCCCAGCGCCAGGCATGGAGGAGGCCAGTTGGGGCTCAGACGGATGGGCCGGGAGGGGTCCTTGTGTTTGGGCCTGGTGACCCTAGAACACCTAACACCCCCTCCCAGGCTCCCCACCCAAGATGGCCATCCCGGGGTGGAGGCATGGATGGGGCCGGGCAGCTGGGGTGAGGGGACACCCGGTGGCCCCAGATTTAGTGTTTTTGGAGAGGCTCAACGGAAAATGTTTAGCAGATGGGAGGCCCCCTACAAGGCTGCAGGAAGCCCCGAGGCGCTGACCCTCCCTGCCCCCAGCCAGAGCCCCCTGCCCTGTCCAGGCACATGTGGACTGCACCCAGCCTGGCCTTCTCTCCTTCTGGCGGCCCAGCTGCGATGCACCTCCCGGCTGTGCCCCACTTCGGCGGGGGGTGGGGGGATGAAAGTGCAAACCGTGGTCCCCCTTTGGGCCGGGAGGCACCAGGGAGGGGGTGTCGCTCCAGGATGTAAGGCACTGGCAGAGGAGGCGTTGGCGGGGGGCACACCGCCTTCCCCAGATCCCACCCCCGTGCCCCAGCACGGCAGGACGCTGGGGGGATGCCCAGCTCTGCCCCTTGGGCCCACTGGGCGGGTTCCCATCGCTCTAGCTCTGAGGGGGACATAGCAATGAGGGGTCAGCAACTGGAGGGGCTGGGTGACGGGGGAGGAGGCTGGAGGATGCCCACGGCCACTCGCTTCCCAGCTGGACAAAGGGGGGGGGCGGGCGGTGGGAATCAGGCACTTAAACCACTCGCTCTCACCTCCCACACCTCCATGGGCTAAGCGGGGTGGTGGGGTCCTCCCCATTCAGGGCTTGGGTGGATGGAGAGTCCAGAGCAGCCCCGGGCCCCTCCGCTCCACCGCCCCCAGCCCCCTCCTCGGAAAGTGCATTTCTTACAGTGTGTGCAACGCGGGGCCCTCCCCCGGGGACTGGGGTGCGCTAGGGTGGCCTCCTATGCCTGGGGGGGTGGGTGGGCTGGGGGTCATTTGCATAGAGATGTCTCCCAAACCGGGCTGGCGCGCACAGGGCTTCACTAAAGACCGAGTCCCCGGCGCGCTCTGGGGGGGGTGGGGGCGGAGACGTCCACAACCGCGGGGCACTCCTGAGAGAGTATTGGCCATGCGTCCTTGTCCCCCGGCGATGCCCGGGGTCTCCCCGCAACCCTCTTCTGCCCCTGTCGCACCCCTGCCCACCCCAGCCTCCGCGGTGGCCTCTGCTGCCTGCCGCCGGGGTCCTCGCCGGCCCCCCGGGGGCTGCCTCCCCACTTGGCAAACACTGTCCCGGTGGCAGTGGCGATGGGGGCGCGCGGGAGAGGCGGCCTCGCTGGGTGTCCTGCCCCGTCGGCTGGGCACGGGCACCAGGCTGCGCTCACCTGGTCCAGGGCGGAGGTGGGGGCAGCCGGCCCTCCCAGAGCAGCAGCGAGAGGAGATGAATAACTTAGGACGCCCCGAGCGCCCGCTCCCAGGGGCAGTGGGGCCTGGCCCTCCAGTCCGGTCCGTCCGGCCGCGGCATCCCGAGAGTCCGAAGCGTTGCCATCTTTACCTTTTACCTTCTTGGTTGGGTGGGTTTATTTTTATGTGTGGTTTTCTTTTGTTTTTGTTTTTTTTCCCGTTTGTCTTTTTTTTTTTTTCTCCTTTTTTTTTTTTCTTTTTTCTTTTCCTCCTGTGTGTTATGTGTCTGTGTGTTTTGTCTTTCGGCCGGGCTGGGAGTCAGCGGGGTGTTCTTGCTTGCTCTAGCTTGCCACCAAAAACGTGGGCCGGGGGCCGGCTGTGTGGCTCCCCGCGATTCCCGGGACGAAGGAGCAGGGCGTGGGAAGAAATCTTTCTTATCCCAGATACCAGGACTGGGTGGCCCAAGGGGGACACAGAGAAAGAGAAAGAGAGAGAAGGAGAGAGATGGGGGGTCAGGCTCCGCCAGCCACTGCCCATACCCACTGAGGCCCCCCTACCCCCTGGGACCTGGGACCTCTGTCTCCCCTATCCCAGACCTGGCATAACCGGCTGGGTGACCCTGGGCAAGTGACTTTGCCCCTAAGCAGAGCTGCTAGATAAACCTCAGGATGTACAGTGACATCTGGATTCTAGATAAACTACGGATAAACCTGTTAATATAAGTCCATCTCATGCAACTTTTGGGATATACTTAGGCTAAAAAAAATTTATTATTTCTTTTCAATCCTTTATCTGGAATTGAAATCTACTCGAGCATTCTGTGGTTTTGTTTGCTAAATCCGGCAACCTCACCCCCGCACCTCATTGCCCTGAGTATAAAATAGGGGAGGGGATCTGCCTACCTTGTCCGCAGAGGGTGACATTTTCCCATTTAACGGTTCCCCCAGAACCCCCATGAAAGAGGGACTACTGCCCCCAGACCCCGTTTTGCAGTGAAGAAAACCGGGGCTCAGAGGGGTAAGGTAACTTGCCCAAGCCCACCAGCGTGGGAGGGGAGAAGCCAGAATTCGAACTCAGGCCTGAGAGGCCTCAGTCCTCGCCTGTCCCCCTGCCTGGGGTTGACCCCTTAGCCTGGCCTTTGAGGGGGTCATGACTCCTACTTTCCAGAGGGGGAGACTGAGGCTCTGGGTCAGGTGGCCAGGTCTGCATGGACAGCTTCCACAGGGAAGCCGCTGTACAGACCCTTCCCCTGGAAATGCATCCTATTCGCCTGTGTGGGGCGGGCCTGGGGGTAGGTAACCCCCATCACCACCCCGCTGGGGTCACAGCAGCGCTGCTCCTCCACCCCCTGCTGTAAATCAATCGCACCCCCTCCAACCAGGCCACCCTGCAGCCGCTGGACCATCCCATCGAACTGGCGCCATGGCTCCCAGCCCCCCACCTCCAGCCAAGTTCAAGTTCATCTTGGCCATTACCTCATGTCTGGTTTCCGTTGGCAACCAGACAGATTCTGGGCGTGACCCTCCCTGGTGGTGGCTGGCCTCCCCTAGGCCCTTCCTCCCTGCCTCCTCCCCTCCTAGGCTCTCTGCCCACAGCAGTGGGGCGGGGGGGCACCCTCAACTCAACATCGTCCCCCATCAGCTGAGGGGGAGACAGAGGCCACGCGGTGTCAGTAGTGAGTTCTGGGCTCTTCTGGCATCCCCCTGGCCTGGCTGGAGCCACCAGTGTGGCTTTGGGCATGTGGCTTAAATTCCTCTGGACCTCGGTTTGCTCATCTGCTGAATGGGCGTGATGGGCAAAGAGCTTCTGGTGTAAAATGCTCGGCCGGGTGGACCCCTTCACACAGCGGAGGGGGCGGGGGTGTCAGAGTCCACAAGAGCCCCACTCTGGGGGCCAAAGTGATGGATGGCTCAGGACTGGGGGGACTGATGGTGAGAGACGGGGGTGGAGGGGATGAAGAAGGTGGGCAATCGATCAGGGAGAGATCAACCGACATCGATTGGGGGAGGGGCGCTGATTGAGGGGAGAGGCTATTGATCGGGGGCAAGGCACTGACTGTGGGGAGGGCAGGAGATGGAAGGGCAGGTGGTGCGGGGAGAGAAGCCGCTGCAGGCTGGGAGGCAGGGGCCGGGGGTGGGGGCAGAGGAAAGCCAACCGGCCAGGAATAATGAAGGCGGAGGAAGTGCTGACTGGGCCAGAAAGGAGAGGCCTCTGGGCTCTGAGCCCTTTGCAAAGGGGCTCCAAGAGCGGGGAGCGGGTCTCATGGCCCCTTCCTCCCACCCTTCCCTCCTTCCAGGGTCTGCCGGGGGTGGGGGGCTGAACCCACCGGGGGACTTAGGTGCCCTTAGTCCAGGGACCCGTGGTCCTGCCTGCGTGGTGCTGGCGGGGTCCTCCACCAGACCCAGATGGGGGGACCTCGCCTTTTCCATAAGCCTTGGGGTCTCTCATCCGTCTGTCACCTTCCGTGCCACCCTCCCCCACCAGCCCCACGAAGTTCTTTCCAACTCCCAGCCCTGGCTGTGCTCCTGCCTCCCTCTCATCCCTTCAGTGGCTCCCTTCGGCCCCCAGGCCAAAGCCCGCATTTGAGGTCTTCCACATTCAGGCTCTTTCCCCATCATTTCCAGCCCTTGGCAGTGCTGATGCCCCTGCCTGGACACCCTACTCTACCTGACACCAGGCTCTCACCCCTCCCCACCCAGGCAGGGCCCTGGATGCGCCCCCCCGACCCCCAGGTTCCTCCACAGCCCCAGACCCACTCTCTCTGGGTCCCCAGCGGGGCCTGCTGGCCAAGGTGGGTGGTGACCAAAGGTGCCCCCCTCCCCGGCACCTTGGTTTCCCTCCCCTTGCAGGCCATTGGCTCCGGGTGGTCCCCCGTCCCCCCATGCAGGGGTTGACAATGGGGTGGGGGGGAGGCTGGGGAAGGGTTAAGGGGCCAGGGCCCCCTCCCTGTCACTTTTATTAGCTTTGCTTTCTGCAGCAATTAGGACATTCCCAGCCTCCAGCGGGGAGGGCTGTCAGGTGGGGGTGGGAGAGGAAACGCCTGGCTCCCTGAGCACCGGGGGGCAGGGGTGTCTAGGCCAGGACAGAACCCAAAACTCAAGGCGGGGAATCCTGGGGCCACCCCAGCTCGGTGGGTAACCCTGACCAAGTGACCCCCTCTGTCGGATCCTGGCTGGGGCTCTGTAAAGCAGGACACTTACAGTTTGGGTGTGCGAGGGTGTGTGGGGTGGTCTTGGCCTTTCAGTGCCCTTTCTGGGTAAAATTGGTCCCCTAATGCTCCAGACCCTTCAAAGACTCCCAGGAGGTGCCCAAGGCCAGAAGAAGAGACTGAGGTTCAGAGCTCCCCGCAGTTAGCCCTGGTGCCCTGACCCCAGCACCCCCAGCTAAAGTCTGGGCAGGGAGGGAGGGGGATAGCCAGGTCCTGCCCACCCACTCTGTCCCCCTGAGCTGCCAACAGCAACCTGGCCAGCCTCAGATGGTCGCCAGGGGTCCAGGCTGTGGTGGATGGTCAGCGTGGCTGATTCTGGTCTCATCCTTGTCTCCGGGGATGTGGCTACCACTCCACCGCCTCCCCACGCCTCCCCATGCCTCCCCACGAACTCCACTGCGGGGGACCCTCCCAAAGTGGCTCGAGGATCCGAACCTGACCCCTGGGGACCCCACAAATCCCCACACTCTATGGCTCTGGGGATTTGGAGATGCTGGGCAGCCCTGAAGAGGTTTCTCTGTGTGTCTGGGCCTCACTGGGCCTGGAGCAGCTGGTGGCTGTTTCATATCCCGTGACTCCCTCCCCAACACGCACCAGGGAGCATGGCTCTGGGGTCCAGCCACCACCCTTGAACACCCCCTGCCAACACACTCCCGGCTTGCACGCAACACAGATGTGGACCCTGGCCCAAAGGCGGGTGTCGGGGACACGTGGGCAGGGGCTGAGGCCACCTCCCACCCCGAGAGAAGCTGGGAGCCATGAGTCTCAGTTCCAGACCCATCAAGGCTCTGCCCTGCACTGCTGTGCAGCCTCAGGCAACTCACTCCTCCTCTCTGAGCCTCCTCGTCTCGTCCTCAGCCAGCCTCACGCCCCCGCCCTGGTGTGCGCTCAGCTGCAGTGATGCTCACCCCGCCTCTGCCACCCCACTCCCACTTCGCAAGCTGGAGCCAGGGCTGGGGGCTTGCAGGCCCTACCAGGAGGCCCCGCCCCCTGCCATGGGCTGCCTCAGCCTCCCACCTGCCCCTGCTGTCCTGGGGTCCTCTGGCACCCCCTACCCTCCCTCTCCTGTGGTCCCTCCCTCCGGCCGGCGTGGGAGGGGATGAAGGCTGGGGGGTTGAAAGCCTGGGCTGAAGCACTGTGTGATCCTGGGCAAATCCCCTTGCCTCTGCGAGCCTCAGTCTTCCCATAGGTACAAATGGGGCCAGGGCGGTGAAAATCCCAGCCCCACAGCAGCTCTGCCAGGAGTGCCCCCTGGCAGGATTTGGGGCCATACCACGTCCCCGGGCGTGGGCTCGAGGCCCTGGAAGGGGCTGGGAGGCTGGCCACCGTGCCAGGGGTGCGGCTGGCGGGAGCGGCACGGGACCCAGCAGGCCGGCCTCTACCTGCGCGCCCAGGCCAGCCCCTCTGCCCTGCCCCTCCCACCCCCCCACCAGCCGGCCTCTTGGCCCCTACCTGTGCCTGATAAATGCCCGTTGGATCCCTTGGTCCTAATCCCACAAAGGAACGGTTTGCAGGGGACGTGCCGGGCGTAGAGTAGGCTGCGGGGAGGAGAGAGACCGAGAGCCCGTTAGCGCGGGGGCGACGCGGGAGCACCAGAGAGGGTGGCCGCTGCCCAGGGTCACACAGCCGGGCCTTCATACCCAGCAGCCGGTGCCTCCGAGCTTGCCGCCCTCCCCCGATGGTCCAGGCACCCCGAAAAGCCCACGGTCTCGGGCCCCCGGGGTCACGCGGGTAGGTGTCTGCTGAGAGGGTAGGCGCAGGACGAAAGTTTCATAATCCAGAAACCGCCTGTGAATTATTCAGTGTTCCACTGCCTGGTCCATCCTGCTCCTGCGGCCTGCATCCCGCCGCGTGGGGGGCCATGAATTATTGAGGGCGTTTTATTTATTAATTTCCCTCCTGGAGAGGGCATGGGGAAGGCTGCGTGTGTGCACATATATATATATGATTATATTTTAATCGCACTATGTTTTGCCGGTGAGTGAATGATTCGCAACCCAGGCTGGGGAGGGGACAGGGGTGGCGGGAGGGTCCCCATGTGGTCTCCACCAGGGTGCAGATAAGTGGGAGGTGGTGAGGCTTGGGGGATTTGGGGGTGGGGGCTGGGAAGCAGGCTGCACCTGCAGTTCAGAAGCCGGTGCAGAGGAAGGAGAAGAAATCCGTGTTTCTCCCTCGTCTATTAAGCGTCACTGTAAGCCAGGCACTGGGCACTATCCCATTTTAACCCTCGGCAGCCTCAACGCGGCAGACATGAACATTATGCCCATTTCACAGATGAGAAAGCAGGGAGAGTAGGTGAAGACCAGCGCCGCATGCCGACTCTGTCCTCTGCACCCGGCCTCCCGCTAAACGTTCTCCCTGATCTATTGCACTGACTCACTCGCCACCACCCTCTGGTGACTCTCCCATTTTGCGGCTGAGAAAACTGAGGCTCAGAGAGGGGAGGAGGTTTGCCTAAGGTTACACAGGGAGCGAGATGCAGGGGCAGGATTGCAACCCAGTGCCCTGTGCTCCATCATGGTGTTTGGAGAAAGCCCGTCTGCACGTGAGGCTGCCCCGGGTCTCGGCAGGCAGTGGATGCTGGGGAAGAAATACTGGGGTGCTGAACGCGGGGAGGGGGGCCGATGGGGCCCAGATGGGAGGGCTGGCCCCTCCTGCTTGGGTGGGGTGAGGAATCTCATCTGGGGAGCGAGGGAGAGACACCCAAAGAGGAAGGGGATTTAGGGAGAGGCTGGGGGCAGAGCCACCACTGATGGGGTAGATAGACCCCAGGTTGGGAATTCTAGGAACCTCTTCCCAGCCTGGAGCAGCCCTGGACTGGGGTGGGGGGGGGGGGGGGAGGGGGAGGTGCCCTGGGGGCTGGTGAGCCATAATCTGGAGCCACATCCAGAGGGTGGAAAGTTCTAGAAGGTTAGGAGACCAAGCCAGGGTCTCCCACCAGGCTACCACCTGGACCCACATCCAGAGAGCAGAGAGTTATAGAAGGCGAGGCAGCCAACCCAGGGCCTCCTGGGGTCAGGTGGGCAGGCAGGGTGTGTCCTGTCTAAAGATGTGGCCCAGCCCAGGTTACCAGCAGGAGCAGGGCCCACTGGGGCCAGTTTCCCCGGAGAATCCGGAACTCTGGAATTTCTATGTGAGATGTCCTGATTTTAAAGCCACCATAACCACAACAGATTCTCATTTTCCTCAGACAAAAGGCTTCTGGGGGCCGGGTCGGGCCCTCCCACCTCCAGTTTGAGATCTTCACCTACTGCCAGCTGCTTGTTGCACGGAAGAGGGTTTAGAGGCCCAGAGGGGGGGACACGGGGGCCCCAGGCCACTCGGCCAATGGGGGTGGACCCCAGACTTGCCCCTGGCCATCCCCTCAGGCTGCCTTGGCCCTGTGTGGACCTGACCACGTGGGCCCCAGGCCTCCATCTGGGGACCCACCAAACTCGCCGGTACCCACTGGGCTGGGCCTGAGACCCCGACCCCAGAGGCAGGGCCGGGGAGGGGAGGGGCCCCTCGGGGACACCTTCCCGGGTGCTTACAGGGCGAGGTCGGCGACGAGCTTCCTCCCTCGGAGGTGGGTTTGGTGGCGGGGGGGAGCGCCAGCCGCGGCAGCCCGGGGGGCGGGGGTGCCAGCATCTGAGCAGAAATGCAGTGACTGGACATTTTGAGCTGGCCACTTCCATTTAACTGGGGGGAACAGAGAGACAGGTGGTTAAGGCGGCGGGCGCCCCCTCCGCCTCGGGCTGCCGTCCACCCCGGGGCTGTGGACCGGCCTGGTGGGCACGGCCGGGACGAGTTTGGTGGGTGCCCGGTGCTCGCCTGACCCCGCAGGCCTCCAGCATCCTGGGATCGCCATGCCTTCCCTGCCTCCTCAGGCTACTGTGTACCCACTGGCTTTCCTTCCACGCCTCCTAAACAGCATCGCTGGACCTCATGGGCGGCCTAGACGCATCTCCCTGCATTTGCCGCGAGTACGCATTCATTCATCCACCACCTCACCCGCAGTTCCCAGATCTGAAAGGCTCCGGACACCAAAAGCTTTGGTGGAAGTCTGGCCAAAGGCGGCCTGAGCTCAGCCGTAACCGTGTTTGATTTGGGGGCTTCCTAGAATACCGTCCGCTCAGACATCTGAAAAAGCCTGAATTCCCACCCGGTCTGGCTCCAGGGGCTGTGGACCCCGCCGTTTGTAAAACAGAAGCTGCCCTGGCAGAGGAAGGGCTGCCTGACACTCGCGCCAGGGCCCCAGGGAGGTCGTGCCCCCCAAACTCACCGGTCCAGGCTGCTGACTGGCCGGATCGCAGGCCAGCGACACAAGATCTTTGAGCGGGTCCTGGGGGTTGAGGTGAGGTGGGTAGCGGATGGCCGTGTGCGGGAAGTAGGTGGAGGCCGTCTGGGGCAGGATGGACGTGGTGGGGAAGTGCAGGGCCGAGGACGGGTGAGGGCTCCGGGCGATCCCTGTGGAGAGGAGGGGGGCAGTGGTCACCAGGGGCTCCCGCCAGGCCGCCCTGTCTCCGAATGACTATGTTTGTGGGTGTGCGTCACGCCCACGCTGTGGCACCTTTAATAATATGAATATGTATTGAATTGAATAATACGAATTGTATTGAATAATACGAATATGTAGACCCAGTGGCATCTGCCATGACCAGGCCCTGCTGTCATTTACACGCCCAGATTCGATGAATCTACTGTGACCCCCACAGAGTTCTGGCGTCACCCCTTGGAGCACTTTTATTTATTTTTATTTTTTTAAATTTATTTATTTTTGGCTTGCAGGATCTTAGTCCCCCAACCAGGGACCTGGGCCGTCGGCAGTGAAACTGCTGAGTCCTAACCACTGGACCGCCAGGGAATTCCCATCACGTCTTTTTTTTTTTAATTTATGTATTTATTTATTTATTTTTGGCTGTGCTGGGTCTTCGTTTCTGTGCGAGGGCTTTCTCTAGTTGTGGCAAGCGGGGGCCACTCTTCATCGCGGTGCGCGGGCCTCTCACTGTCGTAGCCTCTCTTGTTGCGGAGCACAGGCTCCAGACGCGCAGGCTCAGTAGTTGTGGCTCACGGGCCCAGTTGCTCCACGGCATGTGGGATCTTCCCAGACCAGGGCTCGAACCCGTATCCCCTGCATTGGCAGGCGGACTCTCAACCACTGCGCCACCAGGGAAGCCCTTCATCACGTCTTTTTTTAAGACAGAGGATGGGGGCTCCCCTGGTGGCACAGTGGTTGAGAATCTGCCTGCTAATGCAGGGGACACGGGTTCGAACCCTGGTCTGGGAGGATCCCACATGCCGTGGAGCAACTAAGCCTGGGAGCCACAACTACTGAGCCTGCGCATCTGAAGCCTGTGCTCCGCAACAAGAGAGGCTGCGATAGTGAGAGGCCCGCGCACTGCGATGAAGAGTGGCCCCCACTTGCCACAACTAGAGAAAGCCCTCGCACAGAAATGAAAACCCAACACAGCCCAAAATAAATAAGTAAATTAATTAATTAATTTAAAAAAAAATCAGAGAGAACATTTCCCGGCTGTGGTCAGAGGAGGTCCTGACTACTGAATAATAAAAAAAAAAAAAACACAGAGGATGACCGTGGCTCTCAGAGGGAACGTCCTCTGCCCCAGCCACAGAGCAAGCAGGTGGCAGATCCAGGGTTCGAGCCCAGCCTGACTGGCCACACCCTGACCTGGGGCTCGGCTAGCTCTTTCCATAAATGGCTGGTGGGTCAATATTTTTTTTTAATTGAGATATTATTTGCACACTATAAAATCCATGCTTCTAAAGTGTACAATTCACTGTGTTTTTTTAGCACATTCACAGAGCTGTATGACCATTACTACAATCTCTTTTAGAACATTCTCATCCCCTGAAAGGAAACCCCGTCCCCATTAGCACCACCCCCATCCCCTCCCCCAGCCCCTGACAACCAGGAAGCCACTCTCTGTCTGTGGATTTCCCATCAATGGAATCACCCACTGTGTGTCCTTCTGTGTCTGGCTTCTCTCACTGAACATTGTGGTCTCAAGGTCCATCCACGTTGTAGCGAGTGTCCATGCTTCACCCCTTTTCATGGCTGAGTAATATTCCAGTGTGGTATTTGCTATTTTTTTTCTTTTTCTAAACAAGTCAGTGACTTTTAGTATATTCACTTCGTAATTCCAGAACCAGTTCACTGCCCCCAAAAGAAGCCCTGTGTCCACTAGTGGTCACTCCCCCTTCCTCTCTCTCTAGCCCCTGGCCAGACAGTAAATACTTTTGGCTTTCCAGGCCATAGGGTCTCTGATGCAGCTACTCAACTCTGCTCTTGTTGCCTGAAAGCCACCACAGATGACATGTAAACAGATGGGTGTGGCCCTCCGCCAATAAAACTTTATTTACAAGAACGGTGGCAATTGGGGGGCCTGCTTGGCCGGCTCCTAGTCTAAACTGTTGTGCTATTTTGACGTTTGCCTCTGCCCTGTATGTGTATTTGCCCTTGTATGGAACTAAATCATCATTATCACAACCAAGGGGCAACAGGTGACATTCAAGCTTTTATCTAACTCATTGTGATTTAATTCATTCGGTCCTATGGACAGCCCTGGGAGGGGGACGTTTATGAGCCCAGTGGACGGGTGACGGGCTCAGCTCACACCTCACGCTGTCTGTGTGGCTGAGAGCTCCCGTACCCCTGTGTGGCCTGTGTGTGTCCTTCTGCGTGTCTGCCTCCTATTGCGGCCATTCCGCCCCGGGGTCCGTCGGTGGGCCGCTTGAGTATGACACATGGGGAGCAGGTTAAGGGGTGAGTCCCGGGCTGCACCTCCATGTACAGAAGGGGAAACTGAGGCCCCAAAAGAGTCAGGCCCAGGTGCTCTCTACCATGGCAGTTGCAGGCTTTCCTGCCCAGGTGGGAGGCTACAGCAATAGGACTTGTGGTCAGACAGCCGGTGGGACTTCACCGCCATAAGTGGCCTGGTTAGAGGGCTCAGCCGCCCCTCCCCGCCCGGGGCCCGCGGTGCTCACCACTGTGCACGGCGATGACGGGCCGGTGGTGCTGGGTGAAGCTGGAGAGGCGGGGCGAGTCCTGGGGAGACGGACTGTTGAAAGGGGACTTGTCCATCTCTGTTTTCTTCACCGGGGATGAGATGCCTGCGGGGAGGGCCAGAGGGTCAAAGGCTGGCAGGCAGGGTTATTCCACTCCCAGGACCCCTGCACCTCCCCGCAGAGCCCCTGCCCCCACTTCTCCCAGCAACCCATGGACGAGGGGCTGGGAGCCCATTGTAAGGAGGGGCAAAGCAAGGCTGAGAGCTGGGAAGGGGGCCGCCCAGGGTCACACGGCCCACGGGAGGAGGAGTCTGACGCCACACGGGCCCCTGGACGACAGAGTCCAGCCCCCACCTTCTCTCCTTCCAGACATAAGTCGGCTCAGGGCTGCCCCCTGCCCCCAGGGACACCAGAGCCCTGGAGAAGGCCACGGGGTGGGCAGAGGACTGGTCCAAAGCCCCAAAGCCCAAGTGGCTCTGTGCTTGTGCCCCCCCCACCGATCCTTACCCAGGGGACAGAATCTTCCCTGTAGGGTCATCGTGAGTATTAAATGCAATACAACATGTAAAGCCGTTAGATCAGGGCCTGGCACACACCCACGCACTGGAATTACTTGCTGCCATTCCTCTGCAGACGGGGGTCTCACTATCTACCCCGGTGGCCCTGGGGAACCCAGAAGGTCTCCAGCTCGGCCTCAATTAATAAAAGGTATAAAATGGGCACATACAGCCTCCGTGGAGGCCGTGGCACAGAATGGACGCTGGCTCAGGAGGAGCCTTGTCATGACATGAAAGACGGATCCCAGAGATGCGGGGCACACGTCCGCCCTGAAGAACCATGAATGCCCCCCCGCCTGCCTCCCTGCATCCCACCCCCCACTCCCACCCCCCTCTGCAGAGGTTTTTTCTAGTGACAGCAAAGGATGACGACGTGTCTGAAAAAAGGCAGAGTCCTTGGCCTGGCCCCTTCTCTGGAATTGGGCTCTGGGGATGTGGGGATCTGGAGATAGACATGTTTAGGAATTGTTTTAAAATCCATTTTACAGTGAAACACACCCACTGAGGCCCGCAGTGGATCCACACATGGTGGGGGTTGTTTTTTTTTTTTAAATAGTTTTTATTGGAGTCTAGTTGATTTACAATGCTGCGTTAGCTTCAGGGGCACAGCAAAGTGAGTCAGTTATACACATACATGTATCCCCTCTTTTTTAGATTCCTTTCCCACATAGGTCACCACAGAGTACTAAGTGGAGTTCCCTGTGCTACATGGCAGGTCCCTATTAGCCAGGTTTTTTTTTGTTTTTTTTTTTTTTTTTTTTGCGGTACGCGGGCCTCTCACTGCTGTGGCCTCTCCCGTTGCGGAGCACAGGCTCCGGACACGCAGGCTCAGCGGCCATGGCTCACGGGCCCAGCCGCTCCACGGCATGTGGGATCTTCCCGGACCGGGGCACGAACTCTCAAAGAGTCGGCAGGCGGACTCTCAACCACTGCGCCACCAGGGAAGCCCTTAGCCAGGTATTTTATACAGAGTGGTGTGTATATGTCAATCCCAATCTCCCAATTTATCCCTCCCTCTCCCTTGCCCCCTGGGAACCATAAGATTCTTTCCTACATCTGTGACTCTACTTCTGTTTTGTAAATAAGTTCGTTTGTACCTTTTTTTTTTTTAGATGCCACACATAAGCGGTATCATGTGATACTTGTCTTTCTCTGACTTACTTCACCCAGTATGACAGTCTCTAGGGACACACTGCCTGCCACCCCGCAAAAGGTGGCCTCTCAGGCTGCACACATCAGGGCCGGGGTCATTCTCTGTGGGTCGTCCTCGGCACCGTGGGGTGTGGTGCAGCCTCCCTGGCTCCACCCACTCGACGCCAGGAGCACCCCAAGTCATGACAACCATAGATGTCCCCAGACATGGCTCAGTGTCCCCTGGGGCAGAGCCGCCCCAGTTAGGACCCCCGCCCTCCTCCAAGGCCCGCCACCGTTTCTGGGGTCTCGGGTTGATGGTTCTGCGAGTAGGCATCTGCGTGGGTCCCCAGGGCTGTCCCACCTGAGATGCTGCTGCATTCCCCCCACCCCTACTGTGGCATTTCCACGTGGGGTGCTTTCATTCTCTGTGATGGCACGGCCAGGGGTGAGCCAGATCTGGGAACCAGCCCCCTGACGGGCACTCAGGCCACCAGCTGCTTTTGCTGTTACAGACGCTGCTGCCCTGGTCGGCTCTGGGCGCATCAGTGTGTGAGCGGGGGAGCGTGTCCTGGGATGCGGTTGGCGGCCCAGAGGGACCTGGCGGCCAAGCGGGGCCTTGGGTACAGGCCCGGGCTTTCCCAGGGACAGGAGGAGCTGGTGGCATCCAGGGCGGCCAGCAGGGAGGAGGCTGGCCCTGCTGTGTGTGCGTGCATGCGTGCGTGCGTGCGTGCGTGCGTGTGTGTGTTTGTGTTGGGCTCCCGGCTGGCTCAGGGCTTCAGGGGGAATGAGGTTACGGCTGTCAGACGCTCACTTAGGATTTCCTAGAACAGCCTGTCCTGGATGGAAATAGCCTGGCGTGGACCCTGCCCCCAGCTGCACCTCCGTAGGCCCTTCTAGAGCTTCCTGAGATGGGGCCTTTGGGAGCCAGGGTCCAGGAGGGGGGCGGGGGGCGCCCGGCGCTGCAAGAAAGAGTCACTCTCCTGCCTGCGTTCCTGCATCTGAACAAACATGCTGCGAATGGCCCCACGTGAGCAACCGATGTTGGTTAACACAGTGCCCGTACATGCCCCATCAAAGCACGCGTCTCTCCATTTAACAGGCGTGCCCTTGACCTCCCCGATCCGAGTGGCCATCTTTCTGATTAACATACATATCTCCACGTAAGCGTCAAGCACCCCTACGTCTCCCGTCGAAGACACAAACCTTAACGGACGCACGTGCCTGTAGGTGCCCACCCCCAAGTATCTTTCCACGTGCCTGTCTGTCCCCCGTTTAAGCACATACGCTTCATCTGACAGGTGGGCCTGTACATCCCCCATCTGAGCACCCACCCGTCTGCTTGACAAACTAGCCTGTCCCCCTGCAGTGCCAGCTCCCCTGGGGGGCCCACTGCAGGCAACCACTGGGTCTCCAGGGCCCGGAACACAGGGTGGGCAGAGAGTGTGTGGAGTGTACAGGTGGGTGGACGGAGCGCAGTTCTGCTGGGATCAGCCACCACTCACTGGGCACTTAACACGTGGGATGGCCTCCCCCACTACCCCCAGCACTGCTGACACCGGTCATCCTCAGCGGTCCCATCCTGGGCGCTGTGGGGTGTGGAGCAGCGTCCCTGGTCCCACCCACTGGATGCCAGGAGCCCCGCAGTCATGATGGCTGGAGACGTCCCGGACACCGCCCAGTGTCCTCTGGGGGCAGAACTGACCCTCTGAGAGGTCCTGGGGAGCCAAGAAGTGGTGGAGCTGGGATTCAAAGGCAACTCTGTAACTCCTCAGGCCACGCTCTGCCACCCCCTCCTGCCCTCCAAGTTCAGAAAGAGATGGGGGGAGAGGAGAGAGATTGGAGTTCCCTGCTTCACTCCATATAATAACTGCCTGTGGGAGGCCCAAGTTCCCTGGGGGAGGGTCACAGAAGCAGCAAGAGCAAAGCACTCTGGGACCCCCTTTCTGCCCCGCTTGGCTGGGTAATCAGGGAAGGCCTTGGGAGAATGTGGCCAGGAGGAGAAAGGGCACTCCTGGTGCTCCTGGCCCGGGCACGGAAGGGGCAAAGGGCTGGAAGCTGGTGTATGGGGTCGGAGAGATGCGGCTGCAGGGGTCTTGCCTGGGCGGGGCTGGCAAGATTTCCCCCAGGCCTCTGCCCCTCCAGGGCACCGGAGTGAGGAGGCTGGGGCTGGGGGGTTAGCTGGGCGCTGCCCATGGTGGCCACAGCGGAGGAAGGGAGAGAGTACTCTAATCAGCTTAACCCCCTTAATGAACAGCTAATTGGGGACTGTCTAGACAGGAAGCCGGAGGAAGCCAGGAAGAGGAGAAAAAGGAGGAGAAGGATGGGCAGGAAGGGGAAGAAGAGGGAGGGAGAAGAGAGGGAGGAAAAGATAGAATTTATATCTCCCTACGAGCCTGTGAGCACCCGGAAGGCAGGGGCAGGCACACACTAGAGGTTTGTACTGAGACTCCCACAGGAGGGAGTGAGTCTGCCATCACCTGAGGCAACCAATGGGAGCTATAGGAGGACTGACCCCCTCTGGCATTCCCTTCCAGCTCTGTGATTTCCCCATCGCACACCAGAAGCTGGTACAGGCTCCCTCTTTGTCCTCCCCCGTCATGGCCACTTTATTCTCAGTGTAGGAAGGTTGGATCAAGCCCCAGTGACTCTCTCTAGCATTTCCTTCCTTTTAAAATTTTGTTTTTCTTTTTTGAGCATCCTGAATTGAATGCTGGGTTCTTTATTTCCAGCCTCTTTTTCCAATTAAAGCTACAATTTTTCCTCTCAGGGCTGCTGTGGCTACATCAGCACAGGCTGTCTTTCAGCTCCAAATAGTATTCACTTTATATGTAGACAACCTCTTCAATCACAGTGTTAGTGAGAGGTGCTTTTGAGTTCCCAATCAGTAAATGATAGGGCAGAAGTTAACTGTCTCCCAATATCTGCTTTATCCTTCTTCCTTAGTAACAGAACCCTTGATGTGAGATGGGCACATAATTGACCCAAATAAGATTACATTTCCCAGCATCCTTTGCAGCAGAGTATGGCCTTAGGACTAACTCAGGGGCCCAGAGATAAGCAGAAGGGGTAAGTGCACCTTCTGAAAATTATTCTTAAAGGGAGAGGACATGCCCAGACTTGACCCTTCTTTCCTGCTGGCTGGAAAGCAGACATGATGGCTGGAGCTCCAGCAGTTACCTTGGACCATGAGGTAGGAATGAAAACCACATTCAGTGGCGCATAAGGCAGGAGACTGAGTCCCTCACATCACACTTGCCCAGGGCGGCTGATGGCTGGACATTTATTTGTGAGAGAAATGCACTTCCTTTTGTATTTTCTGTTATCTACAATCAGACTTAAAGCTTACTGAATACAGGTCTTTATAGAGACAAACTTTAGAAAGATAGGGAACCCACAGAGACAGAACCGTAGGGACACTCTGACCCATAAATTAAAGCCTAGGGCTTCCCTGGTGGCGCAGTGGTTGGGAGTCCACCTGCCGATGCAGGGGACATGGGTTCGTGCCCCGGTTCAGGAAGATCCCACATGCCGCGGAGCGGCTGGGCCTGTGAGCCATGGCCGCTGAGCCTGCGCGTCCAGAGCCTGTGCTCTGCAACGGGAGAGGCCACAACAGTGAGAGGCCCGTGTACCGGAAAAAAAAAAAAAAAAGTTAAAGCCTAATAAATAGAGAGGTCCTCCCAGCATTAGATACCTGGGAGCCCACAATGAGGAAGAGGGAGGAGGCTTGGGACCTCAAATGTCACAACCAGCTGTGTTAGAGACCGATTCCAAGAGATGGGAATTTTATAAAGACATGAACACCAAAGAAACTCTCCTGTTTCCTGGTCACTTATGTGCCAGGTGGTTGCTTAAGTCACATTCTATCGTGTCCTCCTTCCAACTGTCCAAAAGAATGATGGTTTTCATCACTCCCACTTTGAAGATGAGGCAACCGAGGCTCAGAGATGTTAAGTCACCTGCCCAAGGTTACACAGCCCACACATCACACAGTGAGCCAAAGACAGAGCCGGGATTTGAACCCTGGTCTCTCTGATGCCTGAATCTGCCCTCTTTTTCTCTCTCTCTCTCTCTTTCTTTCTTTTATTGAAGAAGAGTTGATTTACAATAATTCAGGTATACAGCAAAATGTTTCAGTTCCATATATATAAGTATATATATGTGTGTGCGTACATACATATATATATATATATATCAGATTCTTTTCTGTTATAGTGAAACTGCCCTCTTAATTGTAATGTTATGTTGCTTTTCAAGAATCCTATAGGTATGGCACTTTGTATAGACAGATCTTTATAAGAAATCAGACTCTACAGGGAAGAGGGAAAGAGGAGGAGGGAGAGAGAAGAAAACAAATCCTAAGGTATACTGGGTACCTATTATGTGCCAGGCCTGTTTTAGGGACATCAAATGCATTAATTCACTTAATCCCCACAATAAACCTATGGGGTGGGTACTGCAGGTATTAACACCCCCATTTTACAGATGAAGAAGCCGAGGCGCAGAGAGGTGGGGTCACCAGGAAGCTGCAAGGGCTGGGGGACTCGAGTGTCCACGTTCATAACCACTAGGCTATACGGTGGGGTGAACCCTTGTTAAGGGATAAGGGACCGGGGTAGAGACATGCTTCTAAAGCTGGAGGGCACAGACCCCGCTGAGAATCTGAGGAATTCCAGGGGCATCCTCCCCACAGGCTCCTCTGCAAACCATTTCCTTTAAGTGCAACGCTGGTCCACTGAAGAGCAGAATCTTAAGGTGAAGGGGATTTTTTTTTTTTTTTGGCCGCGCGGCGCGTCTTGCATGATCTTAGTTCCCCTACCAGGGATTGAATCCGGGCCACAACAGTGGTGAAAGCATCGAGTCCTAACCACTGGACCACCAGGGACTTCCCAGAAAGGGATTCTTTAGATGAGAACCTGTGATGGAGATGGAAACTCCAAAGAAGGGAAATCTTTGGAGAATGCCCTTAGGGAGACGGTAAGTAAACAAAGAATCAGGAGGAGCCAGCACTCAACAGAAAAAAGCTTCTACGGAACTGCTGACCCTACAGAACAGGAGCCCCATGAAACAGACACTCTGGAGAGGACCATATGAAGACAGAAGAGCAACAAGAAAATCTACCAGGAAAAGGATGCTATAAGAAAAGAGGCGGGGCTCCTATGGAACTGGACTCACAGAGAGCAAGATCCCATGGAGATGGGAATCTTGCAAAAAAAAAAAAAAGACTCCAGGGAAGGACCCCAGTGGAAAGGTAACCCACGTATCAGGACGCTGTAGTTGAGGGTCTACGGCAGACCCGAGGATGAAGCACCCTGTTGATCAGAATCGCTACTGAGTCAATTCTGTATAGCAGGAACCCCACAGAGATGGGCCGTTAACAGGCAGAGGGCAGGAAAGTCGGGCAAGGGATAATCTCCAACCTCCCCGGCCAGAGCGGAACCAAAGAGCTCCGGGAACGCGAACCCGGACTTTACTTCCAACCGCGCGCAGCCTGCGAGACTACAATTCCCAGGAGGCCCCGCGGCTCCAGGCCGACTCTCCGCCCCGGGGTGCCCGCGCAGTGCCTGCCGGAACACGTAGTCACTGTCGCGGTAACCCAGACCGGAAGGTCGGTCAGGCCCCGCCGCCAGCCCCACCTCCTTCCATGTCCTCCGTCCAGTTGCGGCTGCTACTCGTGGGAGAGCTGGGCGAGGTGTAGTAATCGCCGCCGGGGCTCGTGTCCACGTCTTCCTCCATCGAGCCCGATTTGTGCCGCTTGCTCCTAAGGGGCGAGGAAGGAAGCCAGCGACCGGTTACCACGGAGACGGGCCCGGCGGGCTTCGCTACTTCCGGCTCTTAGGGGGCAGGGCGAGGAGGGTGCTATCGCGAGACGTCACGCGAGCCGCGGACTTTCGGCTGCTTCTCAGATGACATCCGCTTTAACCTGCCCATCACTTGGGTGGGACACCTGGGGCCAGGGGCAGGGAGGGACTCGGCAGAGGGCCAAGCTAGCAAGCTAGCAGAGTGGAGACTAAAGCCCTGAAAGCCTGGCTGATCGCTTGACCTACTGTAATCCTCAGAACAACCTGGTAGGATTATGATCCCACTTAGCAGGTGAGGAAACCGAGGCAAACAGAATGTGACCGGCTCACGATCACACAGCATATCTCAGCAAGAACCGATGTCTGTGTTCTCATGGAGTCGCAGGGTCTAGGCCTGTAGGACTCGAGGCTGTGGGAGCCCAGCGTGGGATGTCAGGGCTGGAGAAAGAGTCACTTGGGGGCTGGGTTTTGAAAGATGAATAAGAGTTTCCCAGGTAGAACGTGAAAACAGGGAGAGGAATGAACCAGCTGGGGCCAGATGGGGGGGGGGGGGGGGGGGGGGGGCGTGAGGTGCCCAGAGGTGGGGCCCCGGGGACATACCCGCTGGAGGATGTGCTGGGTAGCGTTCTTCTCATGCCGGTGCTGGCTGGATTTAGGTCATATGCCAGGTGTCCCTGCAGCTCCCCCAGGGAGAAGTTGGGTCCTGTTCCAGTCACCACAGGTGCTGCGGAGGGCGACAGAGAGGAGGATGAGGGAGGAACAAGGTCCAGGGCTGCACTTTGCCTTGGAGGGGTGGGGAGAGCCATCTGGGGGCTGGCAGAACGAAAAGGAACCACTTCTCAGATTGGCCTGATTCCTAATTTGGCTGAAACTGGCCTTATACGATGGGTCAGAAGAACAAGGCCATTGAGAGAGGCCAAGGTCACACTGTGAGGCAGAAGCATAGACAAAGCTGGAGGCCAAGCTTCCCAGAACTCTCAGAGGCCAGGCTCTGCTGATCTGGATGGGAAGGGCAAGGGTTAGGGTTAAGGCAGGATAGTGCCCAGAGGTCCCTGGGGTAGGATTCAAATGGGGGTGTCTGAGGGTGGAGGTAGGTCCCCAGCAGGTCCATAGGTAAGGCAAGAGGACAAGAGGTGAAATAGGTTGCGGGGGGGGGGGGCCCGGGGGGGTCTCCGGGGGGGGGTGAGGGAGGTCCCAGGAATGGGGGATACTGGGGCAGAAGGTTCTTTAGCCCTTCCACCCAGCATCTGGAGTCTTTCTGGGGAAGAGCATGTCACCCTGACCTTAGACTCTGGGAAAGGCCTGGATACCGCCCTTCCTAGAGACTTAGGCTTGGTGACAAGGGTGGCTGGAGAGGATGTGGGGGAGGGGGGCAGGGTGATGGGCTCCTTCCTCCTCCTTCCCCGAGTCCCTTTCCCTCCTAGAGCCCCCATCCCGAAGCCACTTCTCCTTTCCAACAGTCCTCCCCTGTGTGAGCCCACCCCCCCACCTCGGGTCCCAGCACAGGGTGGGCGGGGACACTTACTCCGGGACACTTGGATGAGCTCAGTGACGCTGAACACACCGGAGGTGACGAAGCTCTCCTGGAAGTCGGTGGTGTCTGGAAAGGAGAGGAAGGATGGGGGTCAGCAGGCGGCCAGCTGAGCTGGGTCTGTTCCCCCCCTTGACACCTCCAGGCTGCCCAGACTCCGGGGGCTGGACACAGCCTGGCCAGTCACCCTGTCTACCCCCCTCCCCAACCACCACAGCCCTGCAGCAGGAGGATGGCCAGCTCAGCTCCTCCAAGCCGACGGGGACTCCTCTGCCCTAACACAGCTGGAGTGGATCTCCTTTCCTGAGTCTCTGCTCAGTCCTTCTCATGGCAGCCTCAGCCAGCCTCCCCTTCTCCATCCTGGGCCTTCACACCGCCTCCCAGCCCTCCTCGGGAGCCCCCGTGCTATGGCAGGCTGCGCACACAAGTGGAGGCCAGACCTGGGTTCGCATCTCAGCTCAGCTGCCCACTCGGCGTGTGATCTTGGATAAGTCACTTTACCTCCCTGAGCTTTGATGCTCCCTGATCTCAAAAGTGGGGACCATACACCCTGTCATCTCGGGTGGTTGTGAGCTATGAATGCTACTACCTAGGAGGGACCAGGTTGCTTCCTTTGCCTCACTCATCACCCCATGCAATGCTGCAGTCTCTTAGCCTTCTGCCTCCAGGCTGTGAGCTCTGTGGTGTCCCCAGTGCCCGGACCAGAGCCTGGCAAACGGCAGGGGCTCAGAACCATGGGGTGAATGGAGGGTCCACAGGCAGCAGTTAAAATCCCCAGTGTGCCCAGACCCATTCCCGCCTAATGTCAAAGGAAGAGGGACCCTCCTCTCTGGGCTGGGGTGGTTTAGACCCATTTCATGGATTTGGAAACTGAGGCTGGCCTCGAGAGGGCGGGAGCACTGGCCCACCCAAGACAGCTGGGAGCAGGCCTGTCACACCCAGAGACCTTCACAGGCAGGACCCATTACCAGGCACTTCCAGTGTCCGTCCCGAGCTGGGCACTGGGGACACAGTGGGGAACAAGACGTACAGGAGCAGCTGCCCTCTTGGACTCACAGCCCAGGGTGGGCAAAGGATGCCACATAAAAGCAGGAAGTCAAAAACACTTGTACACGAATGTTCACAGCAGCATGATTTACAGTAGCTGAAACTGGAGACAACCCCAATGTCCATCAACCATGATGGATACACAAAATGTGGTCCCTCCACACACGGGAACGTCACTCAGCCGTGAAAAGAGGTGAAGCCCTGAAACTCGCTACAACGTGGATGGACCCTGAGAACACGAGAGAAGTGAGAGAAGCCAGACACAGAAGGATACACTGTGTGATTCCATTGATGGGAAACGTCCAGAACAGGCAAATCCACTGAGACAGAGAGTGGGTTCCTGGTCACTCGGGGAGGGGGAGTGACTAATGGAGATGGGGTTGCTTTGTGGGTTGATGAGAATGTTCTGGAACTAGACAGAGGTGATGGGTGCACAGCTCTGTGAATGTACTTAATGTCACTGAACGGTACATTTTAATAGGGTTAAAATTCTACATTTTATGTGTGTTGTACCACAATTTAAAAAGAAAGTATTAAAGATGATTCAGTTAAGTGTGAGATGTGTCAGCAGTGGTGAGGCAGTCAAGGTCGGGAGAGCCTGCTGGGGAGGGGACCTATTTTACACGAAGGGCTCAGAGAAGGCTTCCCTGGGAGGGTGACATTCAACCAAGATCTCAAGGTAGGGGTGGATAAGGCGAACACGTGAGTGAAAATTTGGGTAGTGCCCAGACAGCACCTGGCACAGGGAAACTGTCTTGTGAGAACTGGCTGCCCCGATGAGGATGATATTAAACTTGACGTTTTGCCACCTCCCTGTGGGTTACGATGTTCCTGGCAGCGGGAATGGCTTGTGCAAAGGGCCTGGGGTTGGGATGCACTTGGCAAATCAGAGGCCAACAGGGCTGGAGCTGAAGGAGCCAGAGAGAGTGGTCAGAGTGGAGGTGGGACCCACAGAATGGCAGCTCTCGGCTTTGGGGGAGGGGGGTGGGAGCAGTTCTTGTCCAGGCCCCCAGGGGGCAGCAGTGGCCGCAGGGAGCTCACAGCAGTGCCCAGCTCCTCAGCTGTCTGCCACCCAAGCCCCCTGCTTATGAGCTTTGTGTCCACCATTCATTGAGCAATTACTACCTGCCCAGGCCCATGATGGGAGGCTCAGGACCACAACATCCCGAGGAGGACAGGGCGGTGGCTCCCAGTGTCCAGGGGGAAGTGGCTGTGGCCACTTCCTGCTGACCCAGCTGGCCGACTGCTGTCAGCACGCCCCTCCGCCCCACCCCCACCGGGGTTTCCTGTTTGTGCAGTGCTCGCCCAGCTCCATCTCCAGGGGACTCCCTGGCGGGCGGGGAGGAAGTGATTTCCTCTACCAGACGCTGGAGCTCCCCACGGGACCAGGCCAAGCGCCATGGCCCCCGCCGCCTGCCTTGAACATCTGGCTTGGAGGGAGGCGCCTGGGGATCACAGGAGGTCAAGGAGGACTCGGGTCACAGATGGCCAGTGAGGTGTGGCCTGGGGGCCTGTGAACCTCCTGGAACCATCCAGCCTCCCTGTGCATGCCTGTGACGGACCTTCCAATGGGGATGCCCTCACCCACTGGCTGTTTCTTCCTTTCTCCCTTTTCATCTCTCCTCCTTCCTTGCCCCTAATCTACTATCCCTCTAGTTTCTCTTTTTCCCTCTGCTTCATCCTTCCTTCTCTCCTTTTTTGCTTTCTAGAAATGGTTTTTGAGCACCTACTGTGTACCAGGTCCTGTTCTAGGTACTGAGGACACAGCAGTGATCAAAACAAACACCTCTGCCCTTGAGGAGGTGATGTTCCACTAGGTGAGAAGCAAACACATTTGCAATCACTAAGCAACTAAGCGAATACACACGCAATCACTAACTTCCTCGAAAGGACATAAAACAGAGGGCTGAGATTGAGAGTGGCCGAGGCTGCTGGAGCTGAGGGGCTCAGGGAAGATCTTTCTGAGAGGGAGGCATCTGAGCTGAGACCTGGGTGATCTGGAGCAAAAGGAAGCAGTTAGCTGTCCAGATAGCAGGCACAGCACGTGCAGAGGCTCTGGGACAGGTGGTGCCTGGTGTGCTGGAGGAACAGCGAGGAGGCTTGTGTGTCCGGAACAGAGTGAGCGAGGGGGGGGAGAGGGAGGAGGGGAGGAGGGGAGGGCAGGAGGACTTGGGCTTTTACCCCCGGGAGGTGGGACCCTGGAGGGCTGTGGGCAGAGGATGGGCGGGGCCTGACTCAGGTGCTCACGGGTACCCTCTGACCACTTCAGGAGGACAGACTGTGGGAGGGAGTAGTCAGGGAGCCAGAGTAGAAGCAGGGACTCTGAAGCTTCCAAATCCTCTCTGTCCTTCTGGCTCTGCTCCCACACCCGCAACACAGAACTGAGTTGTCCTACTCATCCACTCAATGTCCCATGAGACTGCAGGGCCCACCAGGGCCTCTCCCAATGGGGGGAGCACCTCAGAGCCCAGACGCTGGAGCTCAGGGTCGGGGGTTCCAACCCCAGCTCCCTGGATGCCCCTGGGAAGGCCCATATTCGTCTCCAGACCTCAGTCCCTGCCTCTGCAAAATGGAACAACTGCAGCACCTACTCCATAGCATGGCTGGGAGGAGTGACTCAGGTGCTCACGCAGGACCACACAGAACCCACAGGGGGCGCTCCGGAAACGATTCCTAAATAAAAGATGGGGATGGGCCCGTGCCCTCCACCCCGCCACCTCCAGACTCACCCAGTGTGATGGGCTTGCTGTCCTCCTGGTCGGAGCCCATCCCCGCCCGGGGACTGCCACTTTGCTCTGCATCTGCAAAGACAGGGAGGGGGAGTTGTGACATCGCAGGGACCCCCACTCAGGAGGGGAGGAGACATCAGCCCAGTGCTAGGCTGGGCCAGCGCCGTGGTCTGGAGCATGGCATGGCCCCCTCCCTGGCTGCTGCCCCAGGGGGTCATGGACGTCTGAGGTCACTAAGCGCCAGCCTGCCTGTGTCCTGAACCATGGCGAGAACCCGAGTGGAGGGGCGGGCTCAGTCGTGGGGAAGTGCTCTCTGAGCCTCAGTTTCCTCATCTGTCAAGTGAGGATAACTCATTTAATCCTGCCTCTGCCATATGAGGTGGGAACTCTCATGCCCATTTCACAGACGGGAAAACAGAGGGCCAGAGAGGTGAGTCCCTGGCCCCTCGGGCCCCCTCCCCACCGCCTCTGCCTTCCGAGTCCTGGGGGCCCAGCCTGTGGTCTTGGGTTGCCACTCAGGATCCCCGGAGAGGGGGCCGAGGGGCGTATTTCTGCAGCTGTGACATTTCCGGCCCCACCCGCCGGGCTTGGGGGCTCCCTCCCACCCCGGCGCCCGCCCCTCCATCTTATCTAAAAATAATCAGGCTCCTTGGCAGCCGGGTGAAGCAGACAGACGCTGAGCTCAGCGTTATTGGCTCCGGAGGCCTAGATGGAGGGCGAGTAGAGCCAGGCCCCTCTGCAGCCCTCACACCCTCCACCCCAGACTGCGGGGGAGAGGAAATGGACAAGCCCAGCCAGACAGGACCCCTAGCCCCCCTCCCCCATTTGTCTCTCAGGTCAAGGACAAAGGTGGCGGGAATCACCATCAAATGCCAGAGAAAGAGAATCAGGCCCCTCCCACCTGCCACACTCCAAGGCCCAGAGCTAATTGCTGTGTGACCTTAGGCAAATCGCTTAACCTCCCTGAGCCTCAGAGTTTTCTCTTTCAAATGTGCGAAAGCATCTCACAGGCCTGGCTGGGTTGCCAGGAGGTGGCAAGGAGCTGATACATATGAACTCTAGATCCATGGTGACATCCACCCCGTTATTATTATTACTGTTATTTTTAAGTCCCTAACATGACCACAGATGTTTTTTCTTGTTCTCATTTCATACTTTCCCTTAAATCGTGAAGAGAGCCACAAACCTGGCATTGTTAGTGTACCCATTTTGTACACAAGGAAAAGGGAGGGTTAGAATGACGAAAAAGTGCCCCGCCCCACACCCCTTGCTGTTGTTTTTTTACACAGTAGTGTATCATTTTATTTTTTGTCCGCACCGCTTGCGGGATCTTAGTTCCCTGACCAGGGATCGAACCCGTGTCCGCTGCGGTGGAAGGGCAGAGTCTTAACTCCTGGACCGCCAGGGAATTCCCCTGCCCCTTGTTGTTTTAATTCGGTAGCTAGTGCTTACGTCCCGACATCCAGCAGGCGCTTGCGTGAGCTGCCTGGATTCTGCGATGAGACGCGCGCGTTCCCATCCCAGCTCTGGGAACCTCCAAGGACACGTGGTCCCGGGGGCGGGGGTCACTTCCCCTGCTGGGGCCTCAGTGCACCCAGGGTTGCTTTGGGGATAATAATAATGATGACACTTCGCACAACAGTCACTGGGCCCTCGCCGTCTGCCTGGCATCGCGCTTTTGCCTTTGCACACGCTGTGCGCTGAGCACCTACTTGCGGGCAAGACCCAGAGATGCTGTAAACAGCACAGGAGCGGCCCCACCTGCCTCAGTTTCCCCATCCACGATAGGAGCGGATGCAGGCAGCCCTCCTTGGCTGGGCTGAGCAGCCCCTGCGTGGCCGACTAGGCTGGGCAGGCTGGGCAGTGGTGAGAGGGCTGTGCCCGGCTCGGCCCCACGCCCTGTGGCCACTCCCGGGCTCGGGCAGCCAGCGGCCCCTTGGAGCCGGCCCGTCCTGCTTGGATGGCCACATGGCTGGGCACGGGTGGCCACTGGGTTGGGAAGGGCCCAGCTCGGGCAGCCAGCTGTCGGGCTCCAGGCCTTGGGCACAGACCCTCTTCCGGAACCAGCACCCACACGCACTCAGCGGGCAACAGTGCCCGGCTGGCACTCAGGGGCCTACCCGAGAAGGGGGATGTTTCTTGAGCGCTGCCTGTGTGCTTATGCTTTGGAACCAGGCAGCCCAGGCTGTGGGCCTCAGACGCCACCCCTCATCTCTCTGTGCCTGACTCCCCGCATCTGTGAAATGGGCACAATTACAGAATCTCCCTCAGAGGCTGTTCGGGAGGGAAAAGGTGATAATGAATGCAATCAAGGGCCCCCAACAGTGGCTGACATGTAGTAAGCACTTCACCAACTGGAAGGAGGGTTTTATTACTATTATTGCTATCTCCTTGCTGTTTCTGTCTTGGGTGCTATTACTTTACCTTGAAAGCCATGGCCCTAGGCTATGGCTGGCTCTAGTCTGGAGCCCTTATTCACTGCTCTTGACCTCAGCCCAGCCATATCACCTGTTTGAGATTCAGTTTCCTCATCTGCAAAATGGGACTATAATAAAACTCACTTCCCAGGGTTTGTTGGGTCTCCAAGTCAGTAAATAACAAGTGTAAAAGGGTTGGTGCCAAGTTGACATTCAATACATGGTAGGTTTGGGCAGCAATCGTAAATGAGAGTGTGTTTTTAATTTTGGTTTCTAATTGATCATTGCTAGCATTTACAAATGCGATTGGTTTGGGGGTGTTAATCTTGTATTCTGCAACCTTGCTGAACTCACATATTAGTTCTAAGAGTCTTTTTCTTTTTCTGGTAGATTCTTTGGGATTTTCTACGAAAACCATCATGTCGCTTGCAAATAGGGCAAGTTGTATTTCTTTCTTCCTAATCTGTATGCCTCTGATTTCTGTTTCTTGGTTTATCGCACTGACTAGGACTTCCAGAACCCTGTTGACCGGAAGTGGTGAGAGCAGGTGTCCTCATCTTGCTTCTGATCTTAGGGGGAACCCATTCGGTCTCTCACCACTAAGAATAATGTTAGCTGTGGTTTCTGCAGATCCCTTTATTGGGCTGAAGAAGCTCTCTCTCTTTTTTCTCCTATACTCCTGGTAGTTCTTTTTAAATTTAAATAAGTGTAGTTTCTAAATAATATGATGCTGTAATTATAGGCCATCTCATTAAAACTTGTTTTAATTTGATTTTTAGATTGTGTTGAAATATACACAACATAAACTTTACCATTTAACCATTTCTAAGTGTACAGTTTAGTGGCGTTGAGTACATTCATAGTATCTTGTGACCATCCCCACCATCACCTCCAGAACTTTCTCATCTTCCCAAACTGAAACTCTGTCCCCATGAAACACTGACTCCCCACCCCTCCCCCAGCCCTTGGCCCCCATCATCTACTTCCTGTCTCTGTGGATGTGACTCCTCTGGGGACCCCCTGTGAGTGGAATCACACACTGTGTGTCCTTCTGTGTCTGGCTTCTCTCACTGAGCATCGTGTCCTCAAGGTTCATCCATGTTGTAGCAGGTGTCAGAATCTCCTTCCTTTTTATTGTGCCATCTTACTGGCCATGCCGCAGGCCATGTGGGATCTTAGTTCCCCGACCAGGGACTGAACCCCACCCCCTGCAGTGGGAGCACAGAGTCTTAATGCTGGACTGCCAGGGAAGTCCCTGCCATCTTATCTTTAATCACCTCTAAAACCGTGAACTATTTCTCACCCACCTGCTGACCACCTGCCTGTCATTTGGCTCCTGGAAACCCTGTCTTCTGGAGCTGTCCAGTACGGGAGCCCCGAGTCACATGCAACTTGAAATTTAAATTGGCTAAATTGAAATTAAAGTTTCAGGACTTCAGCCGCACCAGTCACCTTTCAATACTCGACAGGCACACGTGGCTGGTGGCGACCGAACTGGACGGCACCGAATATGCCCACCATCACCACACAAAGTTCTATCGGGCTGAGCTTCTCTGGATGTTTCCATGAAAAATCAAGGAAAAAAAAACAAAGAGGACACCGATAATTCTTCCTCCTCCCATCTAGAGGCCCGGTCCTAAAATGGACCTTCCTTCGGTCTGAACAGATGGACCCAGAGTGTATAATGCTAAAGGCCAGCTAATGTCCAATGCCCCAAGATGCCCCAGGCCCCAAATGGGCAGCTTTCATTTGCTGAGTTTTTACTGTGTTAGGAGCTCCACAGCGCCATCTGATTCAATTTACCCAACTGATGAGGTTGGTAAACTGAGGACCGGCTCAGGGAGTCTATATCCCAAAGCTGATGTCAATTCAAAGAAATTGTCTGCCTGGCGCGGAGGTTCCTAACTGGGGTGATCCTGCACCCCAAGGCGATGTCTGGGGATATCTGTGTTTGTCACGACTGGGGGGCTCCTGGCCTTGAGGGGGCGGGGACAGGGAGGCTGGTCTGGGATAGCCCCACGGAGTCATCCGGCCCCCAATGTAAGCAGTGCTGAGGCGGAGGGACTCTGTTCCAGATCCATCCGTTCTCAGTAGGGGCAAAAATTGGTTCTTGGAGCGATGGAGGGGGCTAAAATTTTTTGCTCTTTTTATTTATAAAACATAGATAAATAGATATAGATACAGTATATAAATAGATATATAATATACCTGTGCTATTAAAATTTCATGAGGTGCAGAGATTAGGGAAAAAAACCCTCTAAAAGGGCTCTTTAGGGGGAGGCAATAATGAAAGAAAAGGGTCTTGTACAATGTTAAAGGGCTGTCAAAAGAGAAAGAAGAGTATGCAGCAGAAACTGCAGGTGACCTACCAGGTCTAAGGCATTCACTTCACTGAAAGTCTGCCAACCTCTGCTGTGTGTCCTTGTGCAAGTACTTTTGACATCTCTGAGCCTCCATTTCCTCACCCATAAATTAGAGCTGAACTGCACTACCGTTTACTTCTCTCCTTTGATCACTTGGCAAACTGATTGCTGAGCACCTCCAGGGTGCCATGTGTCTAACACACAGCAGCAACCAAGATGGACACAACTCCCTGCCTTCGCGGCACTGACATCCTAATGGTGGAGTGACAGGCAATGAAGAAGTAAGCAAATA